CCAACAGGACAATCTTGGAGCTAATTTTGCTAGGAACACCCCAGGTGTTCGAGTTATGGCTATTGGACGGTATTAGGTGTGCTTGGGTATCCCCTCCTCTCTGCTGTAAAAAAAAAAATTAAAAAAAATACTAAAATTAAAATAATATGAACCATTCATTTCAACAAACAATTACACCAACATTTTTTTTTTTATTTCCGGCATAATCTTATCAGCTCTTATTAGATTTGTAGATGTAAATTCCGCCCCTCATAGTTGCTAAAGGCACTGAAAGTTTTTGAAGATTGTTAAAAGTTACTAGAAATATGGATAGATTAAAATTGTAAAAGTTTCCTAACTGTAATCAAAGTTAAACAAGTTTTGTAAAAAAATAATTTAAAAAAATAAAATAAAACAGAAAAAAATCTTGTGGCAAATACATACTATCAAAATCTTAAAATATTACAGTACATGTTATTAGTTTAGTCCGTCATCACTTCAGCAATAATTTGTTGTACTGGACAAAAATTATCTAATTAAATTATTATTATTATTTTTAATTGAGAGGTTTGTTTAATTTAAAGGTTTAAAAATAAATTAAAAAATCAATTTGGTTGGCATGATTGGCCTTAAACTCTTGTTCTTTAATGGGCTGTTTGGTTCACGGAATAGGCCTGGAATGGCATAGCATTCCCAGTAATAGGGATCGTTATGTTGTGCATCTGTATACACCATGCATGATTCGTACGGATGCAAAAACGACGTCGTTTTGACGTCTAACTTAAAAAAAAAAAAGAAAAAAAAAAAAAAAAAAAAAAAGAAAAAGAATTGTATAACTACACATCCATAATTTCATAACTATACATCCAGAATTACATAACTATACATCCATAATTTCATAACTATAAATCCAGAATTGCATAACTACACATCCATCACTTCATAACTATACATCCATAATTGCATAATTACACATCTCTAACTTCATAACTATGAATCTAGAATTGCATAACTACACATCCATAACTTCATAACTACACATCCAGAATTGCATAACTATACATCCATAATTTCATAACTAAAAATCTAGAATGAATGAACTAAAAAATGAATAACATAATGTTGTTGCTGAGAATCGAAACTGATTTTTTTTTTAAGTAGGACGTGCGTTTTGATGCAAAACGACGTCGTTTTTGCATCCGTATGCACCATGCACGGTGCCTACGGATGCACAACATAATTTGCCCAGTAATAGGCCTATTCCTCTGTTTGGTAACCACATGTATTTCCAGGAACATTGTTCCCGGGAATGATCTATTCGCCTTGCAAGGAGAATAGAGATTCCTAGGGTGGCCCTGGTATTAGGCTATTCCTGAGTTCTCATGAATAGCCTAAAGTTTCTATTTCCTATTTTACACCCCCCACCACCACTACCACTGCTACCACACTGCCGCCACCACTACCACCACCACCATCGCCGCTGTCACCACCACCCACCACCGCCACCATCGTCGCTGACGCCGCCACCGCCATCAGTAGCACCACCGCCACAACCGCCGCCGCTACCACCCCGCCACCGCCACCGCCACCATCACCATCACCACCACTACCGCCGCCGCTGCCATCCCGCCGCCACCGCCACTGCCACCGCCACTGCTACCACCACCACCACCACCATAACATATTTTTATAAGGGTATTTATGTCTTTTGAAACATATTTCATTTCTATTCCTTAAATCAACAAAACACTGTAATATAATTCCTAAAGTTTATTCCTTCCGCGAACCAAACAATAGAATACAATTCCTATTCTATTCCTTACCTATTCCATTCCTTATGGAATAGCATTCTTATTACCTCAAAATTCATTCTGTGAACCAAATGTGCTGTCAGAGATGTTGGGAGTTCAAAACTCTCTTTTGTATGTAAAATAAATATGACCATAACTTTGCTTCTTAGTTGAGCCAGTCTCGGAGCCATTCCATTACAAATAAGGGTCTTGTTAATAGTTTAATTCGGACTTTTATTATTTTTTTTTCGAGATGAAATCTAAGGGGGGGGGGGGGGGGGGGGGGGGGGGGTATTCAATGTACTTTAATTTGGACCTTTATTATTTTTGTTCCGAGATGAAATCTAAATGGAGTGTATTCAATAATGACTTTTGTAGACTTTTAAAAACTTTTAAATGGCAGATTTTAATAAATTTTGATTGATTTTCATAGAGTCGTTCAAAATTTTTTAAAACTTTGTAAGACTGTATAAAAGTCTATATAACAAACGCTCATAAACTTTTATCAACATTTTTATTTTAAAAAATCTACAAAAGTCATTAAAATTGTAAATTAAATACATCCTTACAAACTTTCATTGATTTCGATTCTTATCATTTATAATTTTATTACTATATTTTAATAATAAAAAATGTTACTTTACCTCGAATTATAATCCTCTGTTGGGACATAGAAAGCATAGAATGTTTCTTTGTTATGTCAACACTAGAAAATGGCAATTCAATGCTAGTTGATTTACGATAATTTTAATACTGTTGTAATACTTGCCCACAATAATGTGGTAATACTTGATTAATTGAATCAACGATTACTCTTATAATTTATTGAATTTAGGTATAAGGTTTATAAAATTTAAATTTAAGAAAAATAGAGTTTAAATAGAGAGAAGACATTCATAGTTGGTAGAAAGAAAATTTTGAAATCTTAGGATTGATTGTTGGATTTTAACTATTTATATATAAGAAAGAAAAGTCTACAAAAGTTCTAAAATTAAAAAGTTTACAAAAGTTCATAACTTTTTGAATATCGCATGACTTTTAAAGACTTTTTAAAAGTCTTAATTGAATATCACCCGACTTTTAAAGACTCTTTAAAAATCTTGATTGAAAACAGTCTGACTTTTAAAGACTCCCTAAAAGTTTGAATTGAATACCTCCAAATTTTTAAAGTTCATAAAAGTCTATAAAAGTCATGATTGAATACTACACCCCCTAAATAAATATAATAGAGTAAACTGCAATGACAATTGACAAAGACAATAATAGAGAGACAAGAACATTGAAAAAGATATATTTTTTGAATATCTAAATTTCGCTATAATAATAGAGATTTCTATTTATAAAAGTAAAAATCATAATCTTCTCCCAAAAGGTTGAATCCCCAACCCTAAGGGGCCCCACACTCCGACCCAACAGAGCATGTGAGAGGATGTAAATCACGGTGACTCAATGGTTTAGTAGACAAGGCCAAATGCTGGTGCGCACAAGGAATCTGCCCACTTTAGACATAATTCACACACTGCCGCCGCCCAAGTTCGAGAGTAAGAACCATAATCTCAAAAGACCTATGAATTGAAAGTGGAAGATATAGAAGTCTAGAACATCAAAAAAAATCTTTATAATTGAGGTAATTGAGTTCAAATAGATTTGGACTTCAAGTTATTATAATCTATGACAAAATAAAAATGTAATTAAAATTTTGTGTCTAAATATAATGTATAAAAATTTAACAAAGAAAGAATAAATTCAAAAGTTAATTTAAAAGTGCCATTTTTCAATTCGTTCATATATATTTAAATACAGAATTTTGATGCCAGTACATACCTTCTAAAATTTTATTTTCAATTACAATTAAGATAAACTTATGAATTCAAAAAAAAAAAATTATCAAGTATTAAAAAATAATAAATTATATCTAAACTATCTTTTTACAAAAATTGGACCAAAAAAAAAATAATTGGAGGCCATGTGTAATCGCCCTATCTAGACATGGCCAGCCCTGGCCAATGTGGTGGCAAATTATATCGTGCACCGCGGTGCATAATCTCATCAAAATGACGTCGTTTTGTTTAATGAAAAGAAATGACATCCATTTCTCGTCGTTCCGCACCCTTCCGCAAAAAGTAACTTTCTGTTATTCAGTTTCATTTTGTATACACTGCAGTTTCAGTTCAACACAACTACAGTTTCATTTCAATATAACTACAGTTTCATTCGATATTTATATACTCAAATATGTGAAAATGTTATTTAATTTTATTTTATATACACTATAGTTTTATTAAAACACAACTGCATGATCATTTTGATATAATTACAACTTCATTGTACAATATACACTCAAATATGTGAAATGTTATTCAGTTTCATTTTATATACACTGCAGTTTCATTTCACCACAACTACGGTATCATTTTGATATAACTGCAGTTTCATTTGATAATATAAAAATAATACGTGAGGCAGTGTCAGTTTAGATATATTGTAGTGTTAGTTAATAATTAACATACAAAAAAATGCGTGCTCCGTTAAAACTAACGGCGCCGTTTTAACCGCGGTGCACGATATAACGATCGAATGTGGTGCAACAATTATACTGTGGACCATGGTCCAAACCGATAGACACTACAGTGTATCTAAACTGAAAATGTCTCACGTATTATTTTTATTATATTATCAAATGAAACTGCAATTGAATTGAAATGAAACTGCAGTGTATACAAAATGGAACTCGATAACAATTTCACCTATTTGAATGTGTATTGTCCAACAAAACTGTAATTATGTCAAAATAATATTGTAATTGTGTTGAAATGAAACTTCAGTGCATATTTAATGCTTGGAGCACGTACAATGTATTGTGAAACGCAGTCCACAGTATAATTTGCCAATGTGGTTTATGGTAGGTACTTAAATGTATTTTCCATAGTTAGGAGATACCAAAAACAATTGTTCATATTTTCCTAAATAATCGGAGGGCCTCCATTATCGTTTGCGTATAAATTTTTAAAATCTAATTACCCTAGTTAAATATAGATTACTTTAACATTCGTTACTCACAATGTCGTCATAATTCAACGATCACCGTCCACTTGTCATTACTCTTTACCTTTTCGAGCATTGCATGTCTTTGCATGTCGCCATGCTACTACCACTTTTTAACAACTTAAATCACATACACAATCCTATATATATATATACACCGCTTCTTCTCAGACTAAATTCTACCGCTACAATTCTCCACTTTTTTTCTCCCTTAAATCTCTCTCCAGCAATGAAAAAGATTTTGGTTTTTGTGGGTTTGATCTTGTTAGTTAGTCCCATTCTCGTTTCCGCCGATGATGATGATTGCAGCGATTCCGGTTTGGATGATCGGAATAAGACCGAAGCGTTGAAATTCAAGTTGATTGCGGTGGCGTCGATTCTCGTCGCCGGAGCTTTGGGGGTTTCTTTGCCGTTCATTGGGAAGGTGGTTCCGGCGTTACGGCCGGAGAGCAACATGTTTTTCTTCATTAAGGCGTTTGCCGCCGGCGTGATTCTGGCTACCGGCTTCGTCCACATCTTGCCGAATGCTTTCGAGACCCTCTCCAGCCCCTGCCTGCCGGAGAAGCCGTGGCGGAGCTTCCCGTTTCCCGGCCTGGTGGCGATGCTCGCCGCCATCGGAACCATGATGGTGGACTTGGTGGCGACGAGTTGTTACCAGAAAGCCCACTCCGATCACAAGCCCAAACCCGTTGACGACGATGAGAAATTGGTCGAGCATCATGGTCACGTCCATGTTCATACGCACGCCACTCACGGGCATTCCCACGGCGCCGTGCCTTCTCCGGTGGTGGTTTCCGGCGAGCCCGATTTATCTCGGCGGCGCGTTATCTCACAGGTAATCTGCAGTATTAGCTTAATTAATTAGCTCGGATTAAGGGTTATAAAGTAAAATCAAGGTAATCTGCAGTATTAGCTTAATTAATTAGCTCGGATTAAGGGTTATTAAAGTAAAATCAAACTTAATTAGTTCGGATTAAGGGTTATTAAAGTAAAGTCCAGCTTGCATTCAAAAAAGTAAAGTCCAGATTAGTTAGCTCGGATTATTAAGGGGTATTAAAGTAAAAGCCAAATATTAATTAAATGATTAATTATTACTCGAAGTGGTCACTAACTTAGAAAGTACGCTATAAATAACTTGTTGACAATGCTTTCAAAGTCAATACGTTTTTAGTTTGATTAGCGTCACTAACCATGTACTCTTATCTTTAAGAGAGTTCGAACCATTTTTCGTATAAAAAAATTAATTTGGCCCTTAATAGGACCAGTTCGATGCAAATGGAATTAGTCTGAATATGATACGGGTGAAATTATCTAAATATGTACGAGCTTAAAGGTACTTCTTACTGTTAGGACCTTTAGGTGCCTTCTACCGCAAGGGTGTTTAGTATCTTCTTGATAAAATATACTTTTATTTTTAATTTAATGGTATAAAAATTAGTTATAAAAGTAATAAAAATCTATATACTGTTGATATTGCAGACACGTGACACTTAATACTTATAGGAAAGTGTGTTTGAATTTTACTTTTGTATTATTATAATGTTATTATATTATATTTGTTTTAATTTCTAGTTTTAAAAAATATTTTACTTTTAATTTACAGGTTCTGGAATTAGGGATTATGGTTCATTCGGTAATTATTGGGATTTCTTTGGGGGCATCTGTGTCTCCTAGTACAATTGAACCCCTTGTTGTGGCTTTGACTTTCCACCAGTTTTTTGAAGGCATGGGACTCGGAGGTTGCATTGCCGAGGTATACAAAATTACAAATTCAACCCCAAACTTCTCTAAGTTTCTTATTAAATCTTCCAATAAATGCCAAATAATTAATGATTTTGACTCTTTGTTTGAAAAATCTCTCTTTTCAACACCATATAAATACGGAGTAACATTTATGACAAAAAAGGTCAAATACTTGTGGGGCCATGTACTGTAGTGTTTTGTTCAATTTATAAGTTTCTTATTATCGTTAATTGTTTCACTTTTTGAAGTATATGGATTAAATTGAACAAAATTAAGGTAGAATGACTAAATTGAACAAAACACTATAGTACGGGAATCTCATAGATACTTTGACCCAAAATAACAGTACGTTTTGTAATTTATTTACTTGCTCGAAAAGGTTGAATCCCGACCACACTCTAGTTGACAAAGTATTTAAAAGGATGTAAATTACTGAAATTCAGTGGCTCAACATGTTAATGGATTTACTTACATTGACATAAACCTCATATTTATTACTGTCGAGTTCGAGTTTTAAATACTGTTGAATTTTGAATCCTAATCTCTTGTTTCAAATACTGTTTACTAAACCAGTGAGTTAGGCCTGTGTAGGCCACTTTATAATTTATTGAAACTCATAAATTGTGTTTTTGCAGGCTCGATTCGAAGCTCAAGCAACAACTATAATGGCGATATTCTTCTCCCTCACAACTCCGGTTGGAATTGCGATTGGTTTCGGGATCTCAAATATGTACAATGAAAACAGTCCCAGAGCCCTAATTGTGGAGGGCATTTTCAATTCTACATCTGCTGGTATACTGATATACATGGCTCTGGTAGACTTGATTGCTGCAGATTTCATGAGTGCAAGAATGCAACGTAGTTTCCAGTTGCAGATCGGAGCTAACGTTTCACTTTTACTGGGTGCGGGGTTGATGTCGCTCTTGGCAATTTGGGCATAATTATTAGAGCTACACAAAATTAGAATTTAGGACTTTAAAAAAAATTATGTGTCTTTTGAGGCTAGAGAAATCAATATAATTGCTACTTTAGTAGCACTTGTAACCATTATATTTTCTTTAATTTTGGAGAGGTATATTGTTCTAATGTGTTCTTTCAACTGCACTTTTAAGTGCAGTGAATACTAGTATTGGATGTAATAGCTTACCCCAAGGGAATCAAAATGGAAAATGCATATTAAATCAAGGTGATAAGTTGTAGGTCGGTAGGAAATTTTTAATTATGAAATATTCTTAAAATTCTTTTTTTTTTTTTTAAGTGGCAATTTTTTAGGATGAATACAAGAGTGTGTGATTTGGCAAACTCGCATCCAACTCAAATCACTTTTCAATATGGAATAAATGTTACGGAGCTAGTACTTAAAAAAATTTTCGAAGTCCATTTTTCTCAACTCGATGAGTAAAATTTGAGAATCAAACGTCTCTTTGGTTTGTTATTTATTCGAATCCATTTTGACCTAACACAAATTGAAAGTGGACTCTGAGGGAGGATATGGGACCCTAAGGGTCCATTTTATTGAGAAAGTCTTGACCCAACGGTCAAGCGGGGTGTCCATCTTTACGGGTAGAATTCTATTGGGCTAAGGAAATAAGGAAACTTGGAGCAAAATATTATTAAAATTAGTACTAGGGAGTATCAACAGTATAAATAGGCACCCTTCCCTCCTTTTTAAAGGCACTCTTAGCTTGCCAAACCCCTCTCGGTCCATTGGTCTAAGTCTTCAACCCCGTGTTGGCACACCAGGGTTCGAGTCTTATTGGTAACATATTTAGTTTTATTTTATTTATTAGTTCCCTTAACTTGTTTAGTTATTATTTTGGGACATATTCCATACGACATTATATCGTGCACGACACTACAGTGTGTCTAAATCGACACTGTCAAAATGACATCGTTTTATTTAATGAAAAGAAACAGAATCTTCGCAAAAAATAACTCTGTTCTTCAGTTTCATTTTGTATACATTGCAGTTTCAGTTGAACACAACTACATTTTCATTTCGATAACTATAGTTTCATTCAATATTTATACACTCAAATATGTGAAAATGTTATTTAATTTTATTTTATATACACTATAATTTCATTAAAACACAACTACATGATCATTTGAATATAATTACAGCTTCATTGTACAATATACACTCAAATATGTGAAATGTTATTCGGTTTCATTTTATATATACTGTAGTTTCATTTCACAACAACTACAATATCATTTTGATATAACTGTAGTTTCATTTGATAATATAAAAATAATACGTGAGCCAGTGTCGGTTTAGACACACTGTAGTGTCTGACGCGCGGTGCATAATCGATTATGCACCCGGTGCACGATATAACGACCCCTATTCCATTCATTGGGCCATGATCTTTGTATTTGGGCTGCCATTCTGGGCCTGTACCTCGTATTTTGTACGTACCATTTTGGGCCTAGCGCCACAGGTAATAAAACTATTATTTGCCTACCGCTGTTCTATATTCCTATATCTGGTTTATGTAGGACCCGGTCTCAATAAAACCATCAGACTCCACTAAAAATTATACCACAAAATGATCACTTAAAATATCAATTTATGTTAATTTTTTTAAAGAATTAATGCTCAAATATGTCATTGAACTATATGCGGAAACGCAATTGGACCATCTAACTAAAAAAGTTTCAATTGAACTCCTAAACAATCCAAAACCATACAACTAAACTAAAATTAACATGTTTACCTGGTGAATACTTATGTAGCGACGTCTCATTAAAAACTATTTTTAATTTATTATAATAATTTTAAATAAAATAAATTTAAAAAATACCCAACTCCTCATCTTCGTCTTCAAGCCGGAGATGAAGTCGTTTCCTTCATTTCCAACCGCAGACGAAGATAGAGAGGTGTGATTTTTTTTTTGTTTATTAAATGTATTTTATTTACAATTATTATAGTAAATTAGAAATAATAATTTTTAATGATATGACCGCCACATTAGTAGTAATCGGAACATTATGTCAATTTTGATTTAATTACAAGGTTTTGAATTGTTCAAAAGCTCAATTTTTTTTTAATTAGCACCTATTTGAGTATTATTATTATTATTATTATTATTATTATTATTATTATTATTATTATTATTATTATAATAAGTATGCTCATTAATTGGAGAGATTTGTTAAGAAGGATTGAAGCGAATGTAATCTCTTACGCCCTTAGATCGACACGTTAGAAAGAAAAGGAGACAAAAAGTTCAAAGAAAAAGATTGAATTCATATCATATCAAATCAATCTCCACAAGACAGTAAAAATAGTGATGCAGTAATCACATTTATTCAACCTCATTCAATGTAGCCCAACGAAGACTTGTTTTCCTCCAGCCATAGTGTTGCACTGCATATTCTCAATCCCGGGGTTCAGAGATGGGTATCCAAAGTGGGTAAAAGCCTAGTTTGGCTGCCTATTTACTAGCTGCTTTCAAGGATGATTGCCTAAATCTTGCAAAATCTTAAAAAGTGAAAAAGTATATCCATAATCCATGCTAGTGAAACATCATAAAAGGAAAATCGTATATGTATTTTTATTTTCTACACTTAACTTTTACTTTCACATACAATTTTTGAAGTAGACACTTATATTGGGATTTACATAGAAAAAATTTAACTTATCAGAGCCCACCATATCTGAGAGTAAAATTGAATGAGTAAGATTTGAGAGTACATGTAGTGAAACTCTAGTTAAAATTCAACACTATATTTATAACAACACGTTTGGTTCAAGGAATGAGAATATAAATGCTATTCCACAGGGAATGGAATAGGCAAGGAATAGAAAAGAAATTGTATTCTATTGTTTGGTTCGCTGAAAGAATAGATTTTAGAAATTGTATTACAGTATTTGGTTGGTTAAAGAAATATAAATGGAATATGTTTTAAAGATATAAATACCCTTATACAAAATAATAATAATAATGATGATTATGATTATGATATACTAAATGTTATATATATATATATATATATATATATATATATATATATATATATATATATGTGCATTCAAATACAAATCCCCTTAAAATACAAACTTGAGCTCGTGCACACATTAACATACTTACATGCACACAGGGCGCACAGCTAACAATTTTTTATATTAGCTCGTGCACACATTAACATACTTACATGCACACATCGCGTAGGATGAAAAATCACAACCATCCATCAAAGCTCGCACACACATTAACATAATTACATGCACACTAAGCACACTGCCAACAATATCTGGGATTAGCTCGTGCACACATTAACATACTTACAGGCACACAGTTTATATTTTAATGAGGGTTTGTATTTGAAAATAATCATATATATATATATATATATATATATATATATATATATATATATATATATATATATATATATATATATATATAGTCGAGTTCAGGTGCGGTCGCGCCTTCCCGTGGAGAGAGAATAACAACTACAACAACAATAATTATAATATAAAATTATTATTATTACTCCATATTATAATAAAAAATATATATTTATATTAAAGAGTTAATAATTAAGGACAACTCAAATATAAACAAGGGTGTTGCTATTTGCACCCCCCTTTGACCAAAATGGGGTAAAAAGTGCATTAAAAATATAAAAAGTTAAAAACTTATAATAAATACATAGGTGGTGCAAATAGCTTAATGAGTGGTCAAAATGCTATTTGCACAACCTTAATTAAATCACATTTATTAGGTTTAAATAATAATTAATTAATTCAATTTAAAAAAAAAACGAAAAAAAAAAGAAAAAAAAAAGAAATCCCGCCTTCTCCGGTGCCTTCTCACTGGAGAAGGCAACTGGGTTGCCTTCTCCAGAAGGCAACCCAGGGGTCGCCTTCTCACCGGAAGGCGAGAAGGCGACCCCTGGGTTGCCTTCTGGAGAAGGCAACCCAGTTGCCTTCTCCAGTGAGAAGACATGTCCATCGCCGGAAATCAGCACGAGCAGAAGGCGAAGAAACACAAGCCCGAGACAGTAACTGCTGCCGTTCCCATCTCCAGCGCAAAGATGGAAGATCCTTACCACGCCTCGCCCAAACCAATCATGTCGTCTGCCCCGTTGTTCCGCGCAGATAACTAGTCCGCGTTGCCCCAACCGACAGACTCTAGAAATAAATCCACTGACATTAATATCACACTGCCTGCATAAGGCTGAGTATTTTTGGATAGTAGGTGTAGATGGATAAATCATCCATATCATAAACCGTGCATGATATATCAATGAACATTAATTAACACAATATCGGAAAAGGAAAAAAATAGTTATTCACGGCCAGGCCTGGATAATGGAAACGACATCGGAAGTATGGGTGACAGTGTATGATTTGAATCCAGCGGCAGTAAGAACGTGCGACCATTGTTTTTCAGTCCTTTCCAAACCTTTCCCAGTGTGAGCCATCATCACCATATCTAACATCAACCCCACTTCATCACTATTATTATTATTAATATTATGGTCTTTCTCCTGCAGCTTCGAATTCTTAGTGTTGGTGTTGTTCTTCAGCTTCATCCTAGTGCCTTGATAATCATTGATCATTTCCGGGTGATCCGTGAGTATTACCTCCGCTATTATCACTTTCCCAGTTTCCTCTGGAATTGCCTCTCTGCACTTGCTCAATATCTGGACGCACTCTTGGTCTCCCCAATCATTCAACACCCACCGTACTCGACCGATCGATCAGCCCCAACATAACCGCCAGCCATGCAGCCATGAGGAAATTAAATTAAATTAAAACATCCAAATGATGAAACATCGGAGAAGGCGATAGATTCCATCGTAGAAGGTGACGGGAGGCTTGTTTGTTTGTTTTTTTAAAAATTTTTTTTTTTTTAATATTTTTAATTTAAAAAAAATGAAAAACAAATAATAATCTTTGACCATATTTAATGCTGGTGGTGTAAATAGTAAATTTACATTTACACCACCTATAAAGCTATTTGACCTACTAAATAGGTGGTGCAAATAATAAAATAGGTGGTGTAAATAGAATTTCCCATAAACAAACATACATGTGTGTATGTATGCATATATAGTGAAAATAACTATTGTTATTAATGTGTGTGTGTCTATAATATAGACACACACACACATTAATAACACTATATACATATATAATTTATTTAAATATATATATATTTATTAATAGATAAAAATTATAAGTAATTAAATATATATATATATATATATATATATATATATATATATATATATTTATATTTATATAATACATTATATTTATTAAATATAAATATTAAATAATGTGCAAATAATATTTTTCGTATTTGTGATATAAAAGATATTTCCAAGAGCGTTGAAATAACTAATACCAAATGTCCCCTTAGCCCCTACGAATGATTATTCCCCTTGCAAAAGTAATAACTCATTCCTATGAATGTTATTTCAATGATAAAATAATGAACCAAACAATGTAATAGGTCTATTTCAAGAAATGTTATTTCATTCTTGACCTATTCCATGAACCAAATATACCATAAGTAAAAATGGGCCCCGTATATGACTCATTCTTAAACTATTTATAAATTAAAACTTAAAAGTAAATTTCAAAAATTAAAACTTTAACAATTCATTTTATCCAAAAAAAAAAAAAAAAAAAAAGGTTAACAATTCATAATACAAATTATAAACATCTATACTGATATTTAAAATGCAAGTTAAAGTTTCAATTTTAGAGTTTGACTGAGGTTTTTTTTTTTTTTTTTGTTTTTTTTTTTTTAATTTTATTTTATTTGATTTAGTGGTTCATTTTTTTTACTACTTAGCGTTTAGCATTTACCAGATTAAAATTTTAATTTTTTTCATTGATTTTTTAAAGTTTATCAAGGTTTACATATTTAGTTATTACATATTACATATTTAAGTGTTCAAGTTCGCAAAGTGTAGTTGACAATAATTACGAATATACCACTACATTTAAAAAAAAAAAATCTAATATGATTCGTCTAATTTTTACAAATGTAAGACTAAATTTGTTCTTAGTTTTCTCTCGGGGTGTGCTCTACTACATATACTCTCAAATTCTAATCCCTCACTTTTACTCCATGATATGACAAATAAAAATTGGATATTTTCATCATGTGATTGTCAGAAAATGTGTCTACATCAAGAATTTGTGTGAGAGAGTAAAAATTGAGACTAAAAAATGGTAGTCCTTATAGTATTTTCCATATATATATATATATATATATATATATATAATGGACCAATACTCCAATGCTGTATTGGTTAAATTCTGCCAAAGCCCAATAACCCATGCCCATCTAAATATCCAATAGCCCAAATATACAAAACAAAATACGGAGTAGAAATTAAAAAATGCATAGCCCATAATCCCCAAACCCCTAATCCCAGAAATTCTGCCATTCATAATTCATTCCCTAATCGTCGGTTCTCCGGTTTGCTTCTCCTTCTGCAGTTCTGCTTTTCCGGTCTCCGCGACGCACGACGTTCTCCAGTTCTCCGGTCTCTTTGCTCGACGGTTCTCCGGTTTTGCCCGACGCAGTGACGCACGACGATCCTCCGGCCTCTCTCTATAGCCTCGTCCCAGACGCCCCTCAGCCAATCACTGTAAGGTAATTTTTTATTTTTTACATATTAAAATCAATAAGTATTTCATACAGCATATGCTGCCTGCCATTGATTTAATTTTTCATTAATATTTGCAATTTTAATGTGTTTGGATAATGTGTTATTGTAAAATTTATGTAATTTTTTGTACAGTGTGTTCTAAATATTTGGATGGTGTGTTTGAAATATTTTATGTAAAGTTTTGTACTGTGGGTTGAAATATTTGGAATTAGTGAATTACGAAGTATTTTAACTATTAATTGTTTTTTATTCAAATATGCTACCTAATACAAATTTAATTATCAATTTACTTGATCTCCATTGTTACTTTGTCTTTATTTTCATTTTTAAGGGATTTAGAAAGCTCTTTATATGAATTACAATTAGAGTGATTGGAATACTAAACTGCTCATATATATAATAGAAATTTTAACTGGAAAAGTAGAACTCGGTAAGAAGTATATCATGATATAATGAAAGTGATCTAACTTTTTCATTCTCACTACTCTCCCAAAGGCACAGTTGAAATTTGCAAGTTACTGACCACTCAAAAATGAACTGAAATTAGCACAATTTCCAGCGTTTATGACCACTTTGCTAGCTAGTTGGAAAAACTCATTACCTTAGAAGAAAAGGTGGTCGGAAATTTATACCAACAAAATAAATGTTACAATTTTAACTAATGTGATGCAAGTAACCACTTTGTTTGTTGTTGTTGTTTTTTTTGTTTTTGTTTTTTTTTTTTTTTTAATGGTTGGAAAGAGTAGTTGAAATTCCCCACGTTATATTAAGAAAATCCTACAAGGTTTTGATGGAATATTGTAACATTTTTATAAAAACTTGCATCACATTAGTTAACTTCAGAATACATGATATCTATGCTTTTCTTGCCCCTGATTTAGAATGTACAAAATTACTCTTCATTTTAGTAAACAATATATGTTGTGTGTGAACTTGAGTGTTGGTAATATTTTTAATATTTAAGGTATTTCCACATGATTTTAAGACTATCAAGCATGAGTTTAAGAAAAAACTTACATCATTTTTAAAAATTTAACACTATTATGTACTAATATATTCATGTCTTCATGTATTTAACCCACATCACCTGCCAAACCTACATACAAAAAAAAAAAAAAAAAAATACTAAATGGCTGGCTGTAAATCTGTAATGAAAGACTTGCGATAATACCTTTTAATGCTCCTAATCTGTAAATCTGGATTTTTCAGGGGCAAATGGCTACTGGCAAGCAAATATATGTTATATTATAGGGAGATACCCTAGCTTCAGCAAATTTCCCAAAAGAATCCGCTTGTGTATGCAACGAATTGGGATTTAGACATGAGACACAGCTGGGGAAAGCTTCCACGCTGCTACACAATCTCCGCCCGGCAATCTTTCATTTCTTCCTCATTCTCAACTTCCTCTGGCGGCGGCGGCGGATGGGGCCGAGGTCGTGGAGGTGGTGGATTTGGCTCCGACAACTCCCCCATCTTTGGATTTACTCCTAACAATGATGCGAAGGATGATAAGTCAGCTGCTGCCCCACAGCCACCGAGTGGAATTGGGCACGGCCGTGGAAGCGGTAAGCCCTTCCCCTCCTCCTTCTCCTCCTCAGATCAGTTTGTGGCGGATAATGCTTCTGCCGCCGCCCCCGCTGGCCGCGGCCGAGGTGTTCCCGGACCAATTTCTGTTCCATCACCATCCCAACAGCGGATGTCACTGCAACAACCGCAACATAAGTTCTTCGTGGCAGGAGAAGAGTCTTCGGATTCCCAAACCAAAGCGTCTGCGGATTCCAGTCTCCCTTCGAGTATCCTTTCTGTGCTATCCGGTGCTGGGCGTGGAAAGCCCACAGTAACACCTCCTGTTTCAGAAAAACCTAAGGAAGAAAACCGGCATCTAAGGGTGAGGAAAACTCCTCAAGCTGAATCTAGCAAGCCTCCCAGCCCGAGATTGAGTAGGGAGGAAGCAGTTAAAAAGGCAGTTGGGATACTGTCTAGAGGTGATGATGATGGTGGGGGGGGAAGAGGGGCAATGGCTCCACGGGGTGGACGCGGGTTCAGTGCACGAGGGAGAGGGGGAAGAGGAAGGGGGGAAGGAGGGGGAAGAGGAAGAGGAAGAATGGGAAGGGGAGAAGGTATACATCAAGATAGTGGTGATGAATATGGTGATGTCTTTGAAGTTGGTGATGATGCTGCTGCTGAGAAATTGGCTCAAGAGGTTGGTCCTGAAATCGCGAATCAATTGGCTGAAGGCATTGAAGAGATGGGTCCTAGGGTATTCCCATCTCTGATTGAGGATGCTTATCTCGATGCACTTGATACCAACCTAAAGGTACGACATTATTGTTTGATCACATTGTATTGGAATGGACCACATTTCTGCAGTTGTTTTTTGGTACTTAAATGGTTCTTGCTTTGTATGATTTTACCTTTAGATTGAATGTGAAGAAGAGTACATGATGGGGGAGTTTGACATGAATCCTGATATTGACGAGAAACCTCCAATTCCTCTTCGTGATGCTCTTGAGAAGATGAAACCATTCCTTATGGTGTATGAAGGAATCGAAAGCCAAGAAGAGTGGGAGGTAGGTCAAAGTAGTTTGCTTTTGTTAGCTTGCAATTATAATTTCGTAATGTTTCAAGTATCCTTGAGATTTGAGAATCATCACGATTGCTGATTGGAATTTCATTGTATGGCAGTATCATTTACATTTTTTCTGAGCCTGCCTTACTGGGATTTTTGTATTGTATGATAAGACTTAAGAGACTAACAAACACATAAAGTTGCAATTTTATGAATTCCTATCCACCCATGGCTGTAAGTCTGTATGATTTATTTCTCTGTCAGTTTGTTATGATTTGAACTGATTGTATCTTCCTAGATGGTACCAGTGGATTTAAGTTGCAAATTTTCTTATGAAGTACATGCTCTACTACTTAAGACTGCTTTATATGCCATTGTTTTTACATTATTTTATTATTATTGTTTCCCAGGAAGTCATGCAAGAAACCATGGAGGTGAGGCTCCCCATTATTAAAGAGATTGTTGATCACTACAGTGGCCCTGACAGAGTAACAGCAAAGCAGCAGCACGAGGAGTTGAACAGAGTTGCAGCAACTCTCCCACAAAGTGCACCCACTTCTGTGAAGCTGTTCACGGAGCGTGCTGTTCAGTCACTGCAGGTTAATTTCTACTTACACGATTCTTTTCTTTCTTTCGACTTTACTTGATCTTAAAAATGGAGTAGTCACCTACTGTTACAGGCCCGTGTTTATCATAATGATGAAGTGGCATCTCTTGGTGATTTCTCTAAATATAAATGTTGACAATTGAGCATAAACTATGTTTATGAAACCATTCGTGTTTATACCTAGAATAAGTAACCTTTTTTTTTTGAACACCCTAGAATAAGTAACCTAAGACACAGACATTTCTGGATTTGGAGAATCTATGTACACTTTTTACCATAACCAACATCTTTCACCAAAACCCTTCATTTGTGAAGAATGGGGTGGCTATGCAAAAATCTCAAATTTTCTGACATTGAAAAGGGAAATGTCTCTTGTAAGTTCAAGCAGTATAAGTCTTGAATAAAATCTAAAAAAGGAAGAATATAATAGTCAGTTGTTCATGTTTCGTTTGCTTTCTTCTTTCTGTCCATTTGTAAGCAAATATGCTTAATGAAACATACTACCGACCTACATAAGAATGCTTCTGAAATTGGATTTATAATAACATTCTTCAGACTTTGATTTGAGAGAGTTCTTTTCGTGGTTAAGCTCTCAGTCTCTTGTGTGTTTCCTTATATTTTCTTCAAGATTCAAAATTTTAACCTTTTCAATCCATTTACAGCAAGAACATATGTATTCTGATTTCTGACATTTATACATTTTCCCAAGAGCAATCCAAGTTGGGGATTCCACAAAAAATGCCAGTTCATGGATAAGCTTGTGTACCAGGTTTCCCAGCAATACAAGTGAACACGCGAGAACACTCGTAACCTTATGAGTTCCGAATTCTTATAAAGATCATAAGGTGAACCTCGGTTAAACATGCCAAGACAAGTCTTGCATTTTCTGGCAGAGTGAATGCTGCTTCATTTTTATGTTACCTCGAGCAAACACCATAACTTTTATAACAAGCTTTCTTTCCCGTTCAAAGCGATGGAATTGAATATATACATAATACAGTTTTCAGCTGAATCTTTTCAACTGTTTTGTTGTTTCCATTGCATGATTCTCATTTCTATTAACCATTTTATATGCTTTGAGACCCTGTTATTTTCCAACCTTGACTCTCTTCATTGTACTCTTCTAGCATCAATAAGGTTTCAAGCTCTCTTCCCCTTGATTCTAGCATATATCATATTCAAGAAAGCCATTTCAGTATCTCCATTGCCTCCATATATAGCTATACTACAATTAATCATTATGTATTGTCATTGAGAAAAAGGATTAATACTGTCTCTGTTCATTGTTATTTTTTGTATATATTCTTATACTATGTAGTCTATGTTCTAGTTCGTTGGATATATAGAAAATATCGTTGTCATTTGGTATCTTGAGAAAAATGATTATTTAATATTTATATATCAAGACAAAAAAAAAAAGTAATTTTTTTGTATCTTTTAACTAATTTTATATTGTTCTTACTTGAAGAAAGAAACAAATTGATATTTATTTTTAAAATAGGAAAAATTCTGGATAAATGATAATTGATAGGTATTTTGGTATTGGTGTATTTACAAATAAAAACTCGAAATATATATATATTAGAGTTAATAAGCATTTAGATCCCTCAATTATTTCTTTAGTTGTCAGTCCCTAGTTTCAATTTTGACTAATATGTAATTGGCAATTATCTAAGAAACAAAAGATTCGGGCGGAAGAAGTGTTCCTGGTTAACAATTCTCAAGTTGCGGAATAAGAGCAGCCACCTACAAAAGCAACAGAATCGGAACTTCTCAAAAGAAATGTATATCAGTATACCGTAATTGCGGAATTGAAAATGCCCTTCACAATTAGAGTTGTGAGGGAGACCCGAACCCAATCACGATTGAAAATTTGGAATTGCGATTTTACAATGAGAACAATCCCACAGCTCTAATTGTGGAAGACATTTTAAATTCTGCATCAGCCTGCAGTTTTGCTGATCGGAACTAACATTTCACTTCTATTAGGTGCGGGGTTGATGTGTTTCTTGGCACATAATTATAGCTGCACAAAATTAGGACTTTTGCTTTTAAAAAAATTATGTGTCTTTTGAGGGGACAAAGACTGTGATGGGAGAAAAAATAGAAGTGTTCACAAAAATATAACACTTTTACAAATTGGAAAAACAAAAATATATATTTTGGCGAATGCGTTTGTTGTCAGATGTTTGTATTTAATTTTTTGCAGTCAAACAGACACGCAAGTAGGACTTGTGTATCAGCCATTTTTTAGAAAAAAAAGTTTGGTCGCCAGATACCAACTTTTTTTTTTAAATGCTGATATGCAAGTCCCAATTGCTTGTCTGTTTCACGAAAAAAAAATCTGACAACATACGCATTTGTCAAAAGATCTTTTTTCTATTTTTGTCTAATTTTTAAAAGTGTCATATTTTTTTCAACACTTTTTGTTTTAGTTCCATTACAACCTGCGTCCCGTCCCGTCTTTTGAGCATGATTGCAGTAGGCGCTAGACGCTAGTTTGGTAGTAGAGTAAGGCCTTGCGACTAAATGGCCTATATATGACGAGTTAACTCAATCGAGTTCGCAGCCAACTTGGTCAAGATGGCCGTATTTGACGCTTAGACGACCGATCGCATAAACAGTCGTCTTGTGGGAAAATCGCCACAACTTAGGGGTGCCTAGCGCCTAGACAGCCCCTAAGTCGATTTTTTGCAACAGTACTTTTGAGGCACGAGAAATCAATATAATTGCTACTTTAGTTGCACTAATATTGTATTTTCTTTATTTTTGAGAGGTATATTGTTGTTATGTTGTAATGTGTTCTTTCAATTGCACTCTAAGAACAGTAAATACAAGTATCAGTTGTAATAGTTTAATTTTTCCAAGGACATCAATGGAAAATGCATATTAAACCAAGGTGATAAGTTGTAAGTCGGTAAGAAATTTTATTATGAAATATTCTTATTGACTCTATTATATTACAAGGTATAATATAATATACTTTCACTATCTAATTCAAATTATTTTTTATATTAGGAATGAATATTACTTAAAAAAACTTTTGGTCTTTTTCAAAAAAAAAAAAAAAAAAAAACTTTTCAGGGCCCATTTTTCTCAAGTGGATGAGTAAAATTTTAAAAATTAATTTATCTTTCATTCGTTTTCTATTTTGAACATATAATATATCAAACTCATAATCTCAACTAGGAAAATCTAAATCCATTTTAATTATGTTATTTTTAAAAAAATAATAATGCTCAAATAAGTCATTAAACTATATGAAAAAAATTTGCAATTGAGCTCTTAAGGTATACTAAGATATTTCGGCAAATTGGTGCACACGGTTGCAAAAACGGCGTCATTTTACTTTTAAAAAAATCATTTTCAATTGTTGTTAGTTACGTAAATATATGTTCATAATTTTATAATTTCACATTCTGAATGTATAGTTATAAAGTTATGAATGTGTGGTTATACAATTCTAAATATATAGTTATGAAGTTACGGATGTATAGTTCAAATTATACACAACATAACATCGTTAACAGTAATCGAAACCTAATTTTATTTTTATTATAATCGCTATACTTCTTATTTTGACACGTTATTATGATCAAGTCAGCGATATAAATATAGTACGTGTCATATATTTGAATTCTAAGTATTAGTAAATTAAAAGTTATGTCAAGCACATAACTTAACCACTCAGATCACCCCATTTTACCAACTCATCTGGTGGTTGCAAATGCAGTCTTTGCCACACTTTCTTTGTAAAAGTAAAATTACAAAAAGACTTAATTCCAGCAATGGTCTTCCGACTATATTGATTTTTCATAATTAGTCTTCAACTTTTAATTTGAAAACTTTAGGTTCCCTGACTTTTAATTTCTTCTCAATTGTGATCATTTCGTTAAATTACGGTAAAATGAACTTTAAATGAAGGTATTTATACTTTATTTTATTCTTACAATCAATTAAGTTGGCGTAGCTTTTTCTTCATTTTATCACACTCTTGTGGAGACGCAATATATAATATCTATATTTGGTTAGGCATTACTGTTGCCGTTACACGTCTCCTTCAGCATTGCATCATGCAATTTACATGGCTATGCATGTCGCCCTGCTATATATATATATATATATATATATATATATATATATATATATGCGATGCACAGTCATTAATTTTGTTTTTCTCACATTTCAAATAGTATCACTGTTATTTTTATAATGTACATAAATATTTTTAATATAATATATTTAACATGTATTAAAATTTAAATATATTATTTCAAAAAAAAAAGTAAATATATAATATTTTGAATTAAAATATACTCCGTATTATTTAAAGGGAAAACGGTACTTTTGACCTCTCAATTGTTTTACTTTTGAAAATTTAGCCCTTGTCAATTGATTTGAACAAATCTAATCCTTTAATTGTTCATAATGTGGTACATTTGGTCCCTCATATTATATCATTAGAATTGTTTTTCAATAATTTATATAATTTATTTATTCAAAATTAAAAATATTTTTTATTATAAATAAATACATAAATAATTTTTTTTTTTAAAAAAAAACCCACCGGCTGTCCTTGCCGAACAGCAGATGACTGTCTTCTTCACGGAGACGGCCATGGAACGAGGGCAGTGGCGGAGGCCGTAACCCTCGTTCCAAATCTAGAAGACGGCCATGGTCGTCTTCCTTCATCGGTCATGGCCGTCCTGTCAGACAGCCACGACTGTCCGTGAAGAAGACAGCCGGTGGCTGTTTTTTTTTTTTTTTTTTTTTTTTTTTTTTTCCATAAAGAATTGTTTATATTATGTATTATTTATAATAAAAAATATTTTTAATTTTAAATAAATAAATTATATAAATTATTAAAAACAATTCTAATTATATAACATGAGGGACCAAATGTGCTACATTATGAACAATTAAAGGGTTAGATTTGCTCATCAAATCAATTGACAGGGGCTAAATTTCTAAAAGTAAAACAATTGAGGTGTCAAAAGCGCCGTTTTCCCTTATTTAAATAAGTAACATCAGTTATATATATATATATATATATATATATATATATATATATATATATATATATATATATATATATATATATATATATATATATAATTGTAAAAAATGCTCCTCTATAATATGTCAATTATCAATGTCACCCTTGAATTATGAGTGGTGTAAATGTTGCCCCTCAATTATCAAAATAGTGCACATATAGACATGTGGTTCCCCACCGCTATCCATCGCTGGTACTTCGAATTGAGGGAAGGAAAAAACAACTAAATTACATATTTACTCCGACTTAACGGTGTCGTACACTAACGGGGAACCACATGTCCGTTACGGGAAGGGCTATATGTGCACCGTTTTGATAATTGAGGGCAACATTTACACCACCCATAATTCAGGGGTGACATTGATAATTGACATATTATAGAGGGATATTTTTTACAATTTTCCCATATATATATATATATATATATATATATATATATATATATATATATATATATGGCCATTAACTCCTAACTGTTGAACATTGCAGAATAAATGATATTGAAAAAGGAGATATATATATATATATATATATATATATATATATATATATATATATATATTTTGTTGTGGGAGATTATGCCCGATGGTCATTAACTCCTAACTGTTGAACATTGCAGAATAGATGATATTGAAAAAGGAGAAAGAGAAAAGAAAATATATATGTAGAGATAAAGTAACAATACTCATGACTTAACATTTAAAACTCGTGCATGCATGTCAAGCACATGACTTAACTACTCACCCCATTCTACCAACTGATCTGGTGGTTACAATTGTAAAAATACAATTATAAAAAACATGAAGCAAGGTCGTCTCAGGCTCCAGTCTACAAATAGGGCAATTAACTCTTCAACATCAACCCTTCTTTGTGTCAAGCACAATGTAGTACGAAGAACCTCCCTAGCACCTCTATCTCCATATAAAATTCCTACGCTTCTTCTAATACCAAATTCTAAAGGTCCATTTCTCCACTTTTTTTTTTCTTTTAAAAAATTTCAATTAAATCTATCTCGAGCTATAAATTGAAGTTGCTGGAGAGATAAGAGATTTAAGAACTTTTTTATGAGAAAACAGAAGTAGAGAAATGCAGCGAACATGCTTGCATATTAATAGGATAGTTGGTTAGGCTAATAATTGACTCAAGTGTTAGAGTCCTATTAGCTAATTAAATAGTTAGCTGGTAAGACTCTACACTTGAGTCAGTTATTAGCCTAACCAACTATCCTATTAATATGCAAGAGCTTCGCTCCATTTCTCTACTTTTGTTTTCTCATAAAAAGTTCTTAAATTTTATCTCTCCAGCAATGAAGTTTGTAGTCTTTTTGTGGGTTTAATGTTGTTTGCATGTTTATGGGGATGACTGCAACAATTCCGACATGATCGGAAGTTGATCACTCAGGCAACAATCTCAGGTATTTGCAGTATTAAGCTTAATTAATTAGCTTGGATTAAGGGTTATTAAAGTAAAACCCTTAAATTAATGTATATATATGTATATATTTTGGATTATACCAGATATTGTATAAACAGAGTATATAAGTGTTGATCAGTATCGGGATCGAGAATACCTGAGGGCCCAAATCAGACCAAGAAAACATGCATAAGTATTAGGGTTCTTGGAAAGTTTGATACAAACAACTTTCATCAACGCCGTGTACGACGGCCCAATATTCGTCGGAGCCGCCGGCGTTTCAACGGCGGCAGCGGCCTCCGCATTTCCCTCGAGATCTCTCCCTATCTCAATCGACGGCGGCGGCCGCGCATTTAAGTATTTATACTATAAGTAGTAAATTCATTCTAAATAATACGGTTATTAATTAGCTTGGATTAAGGGTTATTATAATTATAATTGTTTTAATTTTCTTTTTAAAAATATTATTTTTAATTTGCAGGTTCGGGAATTGGGGATTGTGGTTCATTCCATAATTATTGGGATTTCTTTGTGGGCATCTGTGTCTCCCTGGCGTTGAGTTTCCATCAACTTTTTGAAGGCATGGGGTTTTGTCAAGGTACCTTTTACTTTTCAAACATCTTATATAATTTATTGAAACTCAAAAAAATATAATTTATTGAAATGTCTCCATTTTTGTAGGCTCGATTTCAAACTCGAGCAACAATTTTAATGAAAATATTTTTCTCCCTCATAACTCTCCTGTCGGGATCTCAAATATTTATTTAGCCCAACTTTTAATTCCGCATCAGCTGGAATATTAATATACATGGCTCTTGTAGACCTTATCGCTGCAGATTTCATTAGTGCAAGAATGCAGAGCAGATCCCAGTTGCAAATTGGGCATAGTATAGACACACGGACTTTTATTTTATTATTATTATTATTATTTAGGTGTATTTTAGATTCAATCGAGAAATCAATGTAATTCCTACCATAGTAAAGTACTAAGACTATGTGGTTTAATGGTATCCGAGTTAGACTTTCATTTGAAAGGTTATATATGAACAGATACTACATTGTAATCGAGTTATTGGCATTAACAAAATTTATAAAATAGTACAATTAGTGGTATTCTCGTGTTTTTTCGAGGCTAGTCGGTAGAAAGGAAAGGAAGAGTCGGTAGAAAGGAAAGGAAGAGCCCAACAGAGCGTCTTTGTCGTGATGTTTGGAGTAAATGCATAGATAGTGTTGTAAATGAAATGGAATTGCAAAAGAATAATTTCTCCGTCGTGATGTTTGGAGTAAATGCATAGATAGTGTTGTAAATGAAATGGAATTGCATCAAGTGAAGTAGAATAATTTCTCCATTGTGTTGTAAATACTTGACATTTTAATTTTATTTCTGATCAGTTTCTCTTGGACCTTTAAATTATGCCCAAGCTATATTGGGCATTTTCTACAATATAATGCTTTATGGTATATTCATTTATGTAATCAAGTTGTATATTTGTTTCTTGAGATGTTTATGACTTAGTTCTCAATTGAAGAAGTACAAAAGGAAGAATTTACTAATCCAATTTATGAAGGAGTTACAAGATCAATTGATGGAGTTTAAGGTTTACAGTCACAAAGACAATAATTCTTGGCCAAGAAAAAACAAATATGGCTACTTGCACATTTGAATATGAGATCAAAATAATGCTTCAACAAGTAAAGGGGAAATCGTCTTCTATCAATACTCGTCGCCACGAACAATGATAATGGAACAATTGCAGACGATAATGGTATCATCTCTAACAAAATTAAAAGATTTTGGATAAAAAAAAAAAAGAACAATAACGATACCATTCATAAAAAAAAAAAAAAAAAAAAAAACAAACAAACAATTCTAATAATTTTTTGTACTTCTTTAGCATTTTCTAATTTAAATTTGAAATTTAGAATTTGTAATATGAATTCGATATAAATAGAACCAAGGGGCAATATCAAAAATCAACTCCAAAAATAATCCTAAAAAATCATACTCAAAGTTTGCTCTAATTTTGTATCATTAATTATTCTTCAATATCAAGACCATCTTTGGTTTTAAGTAGGATCTTTTCATTTCCTTTTACAAGTTTTGTTATGTTATTCTATTGTTATTATTTACCTACGAAGTAAAATTAAACAAGAAATACTCGTAACAGATTTAGAATAAAAAATAGAATTAAAATAAAATTATTAAAGAATGCAACCAAACACCGTGAATAAAAATATTTTTTGAAAAATGAGTCCAAAGCCATTTTCCTAATTTTCAAATTAAACATTCTTAATTTCCTAATCCCTAATTTCCTAAAGTAACAATGGAATTCCTTCACGGCTTCACTCCTTGAGCCCTTCGGTCTTCACCGCTTCACGCAAAATCACAAATACTGAAATATGCCTCTACATCCTCCCCAGCCCTTCTCCATTTCTCCGTGCTTGATGCTCGACTAGGCAGATCAGGCGACTTGGCTTCTCGTCGACCGGCAGTCATTTTGTCCGTCCGTCCAGCACAGTGTCCAGGAGCAGTGTCGTTTGTCTAGCAGCACAGTGCACAGCCTCCACTCTCCAGCGACCACTCCGACCAGCGTAGCAGAGAAAGGTTTCAATTTGATTTCTTGTAATTTAATTAATTTTGTTTCATTTTACATTTTAATTTTGATGCATTCACATTTTAATACTATGAACAGAATGGAGAATGAGGGGAAGGCGGAGCTTGGAAGTTTGCTTAAAATTCTACCACCAGTTGAATTCTGCTGTGTTTATGGCTCCACTCTTCATCCAAACAATAAAGATCAGGTTTTACTACCTACATTATTATTATTATTATTATTATTATTTTTTTTTTTATTTTTTTTTTTTTTTAAATATTATAATGCTCCTATCCTTGAACTTTGTGTCTTGAACTACATATATACTTGCCTGTTACATTGCTGCTGATTATAGTTGGTAATAATATTTTTGCTCCATTTTGTATATAAGTTCTTTAATAAATTTGCTCACTGCTATATACTGTGCTCCTTGTTTTGCAGTCTTCCAATCTGTTACATAATGTCACTTGTGGAATTAGTTACTAATATTTTTGGTGCTTACATGGTTCCCTCTTATTTTGTAGAAATCCATGGTAGATTACATTCTTGGTGTAGCTGATCCTATACAATGGCATACTGAGGTATTTCTTCAATTCCTTTGTGTTTGATGTTTGTTTTCTTTATTTTTTCCCCTTTATCCTTGCCATTTAAATGCTCTCTCTCTCTCTCTCTCTCTCTCTCTCTCTCTCTCAAGTAGAATTTAAAGACGAACAGTGATCACTATGCATCACGGCTTGTTCGCATTGGTGGAGGTAGGCTGGTACTCCTCTTGGTCTTGACATCTCTTTAGTTTCTTTTACTCTCAAATTATATCTAAATTCTAATTAATATAAATAATTCATTGTGCCTCTCACCAGATTAATGGTATTGCAAATAATGTTGGTGTTGGTATACACTTCAACCCCTTCGTTTCTTGGAATAACAAGGTAATGAGCATTTGTGATAACTGGTAAGGCGCATATATGAATTGTTCATTTGAAATCTTGTGTTGTACCTTTGGCAGATGTTCAAGTATGGAGTTGTTCAAGTCCATGACTTGATCGAGGATATTCAAGGATGGGAGAGGTTCTACATGAGTGGTCGTTTGCAGAAACCTGTATGCCTCTTTGAAGAATGCTATTCTTGCCCTACTTACATGTGGGATTTTCTTTTCTTCCATAGTCATGGTCCTATCCCAAATACATGCACCAAATTTATGGGTCTGTGTATCATAAAGTTTGCAGAACTATTAACTATAGTTTTCCTAACCTAGACACTGGCAGAACAATCAGATGCAAATATGAATATGGGCACATCAGGGGAAGGCTGAGATTATTTAGGCCTTTTAGTGTTTTTTTTTTTTTTTTTTTTTTTTTTTTTGGAGTATATCTGTGAATTTCCAATGATAAGAAGTTTTAGCTAAGCTTTGCTAAGGAAAAGTGTAAGGTTAAAAATAATTAAATGCCTTATAGTGATTCTTGATTTTAATTTTGGTGGCTAGTGATGTCATATCACATGAATTTGATCTTTTACTCATATTTTTGTTTTATAATTCTGGAAACATAGAATTGCTTTAGGTTCTTGCCTGTGAAACCAACTCATCTCTGCTACCTTCTTCTGGAATGCTAAATATATCTAGTTGATTGTATGGTCAGTGTTAATACTTAACATTTGAAATTTTCATCTCAGGTTAATATTATTGTGGATAATTTGAATGTTGAAAATGAAAATGCTGTCAATTTGAGAGCTGCTGCATCTGCTGCTCTCCTCCTTTTGCCGTCTGAATTCTGTGAGGTTAGCCATTATAATAATTCCCAAAACCTTGATGCATACCAAAAATGTCACTTAAGTCTGGTGCTCATGCAGGAAGATTTATATGCCAAAATATGTAGCCTGTCATATATGGGTGACTTGCGGATGCTTTTTGCAGAGGACAAAAATAAGGTATGGTTGATTGGACTTTGGAGAGGGTTTAGATTTCTGTTGAAAGGAGTATTTTTTGAGTATTACCTGACATGTAAGTTCCAGAATAAGAGGGTGTAGTTTACACTAGTCATATATGTATCACACCATCAGGCCTATCGAATAAATTAAAATTGAACTGTATTATCATGTGAAGCTATTGGGAGGTAAATAAAACTACTATTCAACATTTGGTATAGCGGCCCTTATTCTTTTTGGTCAGATTTGATTCTTTGTGATCTTTCTCCTCTCTCATTTCTACCTCACACTTATAACAAGGAGAATTAGTCAATTGGAAATTATTTTTTGATGGAGGCTTTGTGTCTTTCAACATTGTCGTGCCAATCTATTATAGTGCTCATAATTCCAAGTTCTGTTGCCAAAACCATTTTATTAGCTTTCAAGCAATTGTAGTGAAAGATTAAACTCCTTGATTGCTTCTTGTACTTGTTTTCTTTTAGTAGAACTAATATTCAACATTTAATTTATTAGATTATTATTATATCTAACTGATACATCAACTTTGTTATGCTATTAACATAAAATATCTTTAATTACCATATTTTATAGGTAAAAAATATTGTACAGGGACAATTTCACTTGTTCCAAAGAATTTATAGACCCTTTCTAGATGAATACGCTGCCAATGGCTTGCTGAGATTTTCATCAACTGGTGACAAGCAAGTAAATATAACTCAGGTCTCTCCACAATTCTCAAGCTTCTGAATTTATTTCATCTTCTTTTTATTGTTCATTGGGGTGGCCTGCTACTATTTGTTTACTACTATTGAATTATTGGATAATCTAGTGCCACAGGCCTAGTGCAACTATAGTTTTTCATCTATTAAATTAAAATTAATAAAGAAGGTGGTTTATACACAGGAAAATCAAATCATCATCTGGCGATCTCAAGTTGACAATTATTGCTCTTTTTAAATGTTTGACATCTTTACTGTTGTCAGGTCCATACTTTTGTCTAACAAATTACAAATTATTGGCTGGAGATTTCACCAATTTTTTTTTTTAAAAAAATTATTTTATTTTTATAACAAGTTCTTTCCTGGAGCTTAATTGCAAATTCTTAGCTGAAAATAATTTAAAAATTTCAGAGGATTCCTTAATTTTTATGGATTCTTGAGATTAACTTCTGGAGTTAATTCCACCCGAGGTCCCTTGTCTTTGGTGGCAATTTCAAATTTAGTCCCACACTATCGTTTTTTCCATTTAACATCCCAAACTATTGTTTTTTGGACACTTTTAGTCCGTCTCATAACTTTTCCTATTTTTAGTAAGGGCATTTTTGTCTTTTCATATTTTTCTTTTGTTATTTTTCGGGTTTCAACTGGTTTAAACGGTTTAGAACTTTAGGCAACCTCTGATTTTTAGTAACAATATTTTTCAACCGTTTTTCAGTAAAGTTCTAAACCAATTAAACCGATTGAAACCGAAAAAATATATTTCGTTTGTGACAAACAACAAACAACAGTTCACATACTAAAATCCAGGTTCTTGAATGCATGCATCTCTGCAATCAAAGTTTGCATAAAAGAGTTTGATGTGTCTTAGCATGTTAAACCAGGATTGCGGATTATCTGCTGCCACTTTCTTTGCATCACATCTTCCTCTGCCTATTAGAAGCAAAATGGATACAAATCGTGGAGAGATGAAACAATTGGATTACAGTGGTATGCGTTTCAATTTTATCAGTAAATTAACATTTTTTTCTTATACTTTTTAAATCTTTGCTAGTATTACTGAGTATTCCTTCTGAAACAAGTCCTTTAATATCCTCGTGTCTATTGTTGCAGGAAAAATTAGACAGGACATGATTATTGGTTCGAAAGAACAGGCTGCAAACTCCATGAGTAAGCTTCTTAGGCGAAAGGTTATGGTTTCAAGTGCGAGGCAGGCAGTTGCGGGTTTGCTGACTGCTGGTGCTGTTCACGGCGTCAAATATCTGGGGAAGAAGATGATCAAAGCTTGGAAATCTTGGACATAGACCGACCTCTGGCTCTTGACCATTTTACCCCTCAAGCATACATGACCTCTCGGGCGGTTTCCTGAGCAAGGGAAAAATTTTCAATGCACCCTCTGGCCGAGAAGACGAGAACTGATTTGGTTTTAACGCGAAAGAGTTTGGAAAGGGAGGACGGAGAATAAACCCAGGTTAACGAGAAACTTCTGAGCCATGTGTGCCCACTCCCCACAGGCTAAAACAGTTTGAAGAACATGATTAAATCTCTTAAATTTGGTAATTACTTCCATTACAGACAATGTTAAGTGCAATAGCTTAAAAGCTGTCTGAATAAGTCATAAAATACCAGTCATTTTATGATGTTTTTGTACTAAATCAATGCCATTTACATTTCTAATTTATTAGTGAATAAATCCTCGAATTTCAGCATACCTGTTATACAAAGTTACTGCAGATCAACAAGTTGGTCTTTTGATAGAAAAATAGAGAAACAGCATAAGGCACAATGTCTTACAATATTAGCATCATGTTGGGTGCAAAACAGGCGAGCCGAGCTCAAGCTTGAGTTCAATAAATAATATGTAGGCTCGAGTTTGAATTTGATCGAGCTTGAAAATTGAAGCTCGAGTTCGGTTCAATTATGAAACGAGTCGGTTGGAGTTTGACGAAGTTGACCGAACTGCTCTGCTCATTTACACCCTTAGTATAATGAATTTGCACTCTAATCTAGTAGTGAATACTTACAAAAAGGTTATATAACTTTAAGTAAAACTATTATTATCCCTGCAAGTATCTTTCACTTTCAAAAATGGGTCTCACTTTCACATCATTAAATTTATAAATTCTTCACTATTTATTCTAATCCTTGCAAATATCTTCCACTTTCAAAATTGGGTCCATTTTTATATTATATATTATAAATATAATAAAAAAATAATATTAAAAGAAATAATAAAATTTAAAAAAAAACAAAACAAAACAAAAGGTACAATGTTTGGAGCAAAAGGTGCGGCCCATCCAATCAAAGTACTTTTAAAAAAGTTACCAATTGCAAATTCTCTCTCCACTTGCTAAATTTGTTCGATTCTCTCTCCTCTTGCAATACATTTGACTTTAAATAAAAAAAAAAAAGATTTATTTCTTCTTGAGATGTCACATTGTCAATCCCAAATTTGCAGGGATGAGGTTAGTCTAAATGGTTATGTTTTTAACTATTAGCAGATTAGTGAATTACTGAATTATATTAATTGTTTGTAAAAAATGTTTAGTAAAATCTTAATTGTTTGTAAAAAATGTTTGGTAAAATTAACTTGTTAGAGTTAGTGGTTAATCGGTAAAAAGAACAGAAATACATTTTAATTTTTTTTTTATTACTAATAATAGTGTTATCATGGATTTTAATCAGTGTACTGACCGCACCTACGTAGGCTCTATCATCTTCAAAGTGCCGATACCTCATCTTTACTATTTTTGGTTATGAAATTTGATGTCTTTAAAGAGATAAAAATCAAGTCGCCCACTACCTTGCTAAAGCAAATGGGGTTTGGTTATCTCATTCGGAATGGTCGGATACTCTAGATTTCATAACCACTTTCGATTAATATTAGTTCGAGATTTATTACCCAAAAAAAAAAAAAGAAGAAGAGGTATAATGTCATAATTAGAATTACTTAGAAAATACAAATCATTCATATATATATATATATATATATATATATATATATAGTGTATAAATAATCTATTCCCTGTTTCATCTTCTTCTGTATCAGCCTTAGAAACTCTACTAACCCTTCTGGTTTTGGTTCTGATGGCTTCGGACTAATCTAATCTGCAAATAAGACTTTTGAAAGGGGTGAACAGAACTGCATAATGTACTTTCAATACTCAAATAATGTACCTTTAATATACAAATAATGTACATTTAGTATATTAAAAATGTAATTTTTATTCATGGTTCATACAGCTATGTTGACCATGGTCCACATAAAAATTTGCCATATTTGTGTGTATACTTGCATAGTTTGCAGCACCCTCCCCTCCAGAGTTGTTGAGAGGATGCAAATTACTCACTGTTCCCTCCCCCTAATGTTTCCAGTCATTTCAGTTTTTCTGAACTGAACACAAAGGCTCTTACAGTTTTATCTAAGCAACCAAAATTCGACCAACACTCTCCCCGTCCTCGATATGCATTCTCATCTAATGTCTGTCAGTTGGTTTTAGATTCGATGGAAAGCCGTAAGCAAGCAAGCCCCGATCCACAACAGAACAATGTTATGTTTTAGCGGGGAGTGAATGCGTCTTCGAATCAACTCAATCCCCGATGACTGCATGCTCGAGCAAATATGCATCATGGCTGCTGGCCTCATGTTTGGCGCCAAAAATGATACTTACCAAGAAAGCAGTTGTGATCAGCAAAGCAACCAGTTTCTTCTCAGAGGAATCTGGAAAGGAGATTGATATAACATTTCGAAACCCGACAGCAGCTTTCACATTTCGGTCCTCTAAGAATGCAGTCCTTTACTTCCTTCCAAGAAAAGATCAAGATATAAATAGATTTGATTAGGTAATGCTCAAGAACTTATTTAGCAACTAAATGTTGAAACAGTAATATTCTATTAACCAACCGAGATCAAGAAACCAACCTTGTTAGCAGAGCACCCGCTTGCCAGAGCCAAACAGCTAAAAGCTTGAGGTTGAAAGTGCTTTTTTCCCTTCAAAAGATAAACTCTTTGAGTCTTGATTTACAAGGAAATGGAATCCCACAGTTATCAGTGAAAAGAAAATAATACTAAGAAATAAAAGCCGCCAAAAAGTAAGTCATCTCACCGATAGAGTCACAGGAATAGGTCGTTCCAACACTTGTTGATGGCAACTTGAACCTTCTTAGGTTTGCACAGCTCTCGGACGATTTTTTCCCAAGTTGATAATTTAGGGTACAAAGCTTTCCGAAGCATCACTTCGATAATATTCGATGCTCCGAGAATTCTCTGTCGCTTGAGCAGTCGTAGCACGAGCTCATCCAAAAATTCTCCCCCACTTTGGGGTGGGTTCAACTTCTCGTTCAAAATTGTCAAGAAAATGTTACATGTAACCAAATTGGGGTCACAGCCTTGATCTAGCATGTTATTTAAAAGATCTATGGCACGGGAAATCCTATCCTGCTTGCACAAAGCGTTAAGAAGTATGTTATACGTTATTACGTCAGGTTGACTATTAGATTCCTTACATAACATCTCGTGGAAAAATTTTAGTCCCTGTTCCACCGACCCGGCATTGCAGAGGCCATAAATCATCGAAGTGTATGCCACAACGTCGGGGTTCCAACCATTAGTAATCATTTGCTTCCACACCATCATAGCCTCTTTCACTTTCCCGTCTCCACAAAGTCCGTGGATGAGTACACTATAGCAAACTTCGTTAGGTAAAATATTCCGATCCACCATATCTTTCCACGCCAATATCGCCTCGTTGGTTTTACCGGTTTTAAAAAAACCCTTCATCAGAGAGCTGTAAGTCCAAGCATTTGGAGTGCAATCCATATTAATCATCCGCAATAGAATCTCCCGGGCTTCATCGGGTCTGCCTTCCCGACACAAGCCATCTATAAGAGCGGAATACACGATTGTATTTGGCTTGCTTCCCTTCTCTATCATTTCGTTCCACAATTTTAACGCCTCCTCGGGTTTTCCCTCCTTGAACAACCCGCTAATTAGCGAAGAGTAAACATATTCATTTGCTCGATGTCCTCTTTCCTCCATTGCCCTAAATATACACGCGCCATCAACCGCTCTTCCTTGCTTGACAAGACCGTTGATGATAGTTCCATACGTTATATCATTAGGAACGTGTTTATTCAACACCATTCTATGCAACAAACTAATCGCCTTATCCAACTTCCCTTTAAGACACAAACCATGAATAAGCGTGTTATAAGTCACTTCATTAGGAACGCAACCTTTAAGAAACATATTTTCTACAAGCTTTGAAGCTCGACCCAAATCACCCTTCTTGCAAAGCCCGTTAATCAAAACATTAAAAGTCACCGGAATAGGAAAACATCCCTCTACCTGCATTTCATCCAACAAAGTCACGGCCTCATCGATCCTATCGTCCTTACACAACCCATCCATCAATGTGCAATACGTATACACATCCGGCTTGCATTCCCACTCGGGCATTTCCCTGAACACCTCCACCGCGCTATCTACCATCCCTACCTTACACATTGCTTTAACAATCAGGTTAAAAGTCAATACATTTGGCTTGACGCCCCTCCTATCAACAACATCGGAGTAAAACTTTAATGCTCGGTGATATAAACCCGATTGTATTATCACATTAAGAACTGAATTAAACGACCTAACGGTTCGTCTACACTGAAACTCATCCACCATTCTTTCAAAAAGTTCAACAGCTTTATCAGGCAAACGAGCTTTCCCATAAGCCCTAAACACTAGAATAAAACTCTTCTCCACAAACACTCTCTTCTCACGTTTCATCCTATCAAAAACCTTCTCCAGAGACCTGAAGTCCCCGGAATTGGCATAATTTTCTATGAGCGAATAAAACGTGGAGTCACCCTGTTTGTAAGAGCCCGAGTTGGGGGCAAGTTTAAACAGCTTATCAGCGATTGGGGGTTCTCTTCTAGTTCCATAACAATCTGATTTCGGGGAATCTTGAATTAAAGTTTCGTCCTTTTCGGGTTCCGAAGGCTGGGGAAGTGATGAAAAGCAAGGAGGAATGAGGTTGAAGTGGCAGAAAAACTTACATGGGTTTGGAGAGAGCCTTGAGCTGAGATGCTTGGAGGCACTGGCGTTAAAGGGCATTCCTTTATTGAACTCAACTCCGAGGAAGAAGTTAAAATCTCCGGGAATCAACAATCATTTTGATTTGCACTCTTAGAATGAACGTTGAATTGTTGAACCAAACTCTAACATCTAAGAAATTGAACCGAGAGAGAGAGAGAGTTTCCGCGAGAGAGGCGGCCGGCGTTAGGGGTGAGGACGGAGTTTATGCCGGCGTGCCGCCGTGAGGACACTGTGACTCTGGCAGAGAGGCGGAGAGGACTGAGAAAAAGAGAAGAAATAGGGGATTTGGGTTTAAATATATAAATGGGCTGAGTGGTGGGCCATGTCAAATGGCCTACTTAATTTATTTATTATACTTGGGCTGATTGGCAGTGTATATTTTTTTTATTGGATTTATCTTCGGTTTTATGGGCTGATGGCAGTGTAATATTACTGTGTAGACCATACATTTTTAATGTACTAAAAGTATATTATTTGTATACACTGAATATGCATTATATAAAATAATATATTTTATGTGAATATAAATTACATTTTTAATATTAAAAATACATTATTTGTATACTGAATATACATTATTTGATAGTATACAAAACAATATAAATTTTATTTATGGTCCACACAATAATGTCACCCCTATAAGCAACGGAGCGTTATGTTGTGCATCCATGGTGCACACGGATGCAAAAACGGCGTCGTTTTGACGTCGACTTAAAAAAAATCTATAACTCCATAACTATACATCCAGAATTGCATAATTACACATTCATAACTTCATAATTATACATCCAGAATTGCATAACTATACATCCATTACTTCATAACTATAAATCCAGAATTGCATGCATAACTACACATCTATAACTTCATAACTATACATTCAAAATTGCATAACTACACATCCATAACTTCATAACTATAAATCTAAAATTGCATAACTACACATCCATAACTTCATAACTATACATTCAGAATTGCATAACTATACATCCAGAATTTATTAACTATACATCCATAACTTCATAACTATAAATCCATAATTGCATAACTACACCATGCATAATTACACATCCATAACTTCATAACTATAAATCCAGAATTGCATAACTGCACATCCATAATTTCATAACTAAAAATCCAGAATGAATGAACTAAAAATCTAGAATGAATGAACAACATAATGTTGTTGCTGGGAACCGAAACTGATTTTTTTTTTTAAAGTGGAACAAACGTTTTTAGTCAAGACGACGTCGTATTTGCACCCGTGTACACCATGCATGGTGCACACAAATGCACAATATTGCACAACATAATTTGCCATAGGCAAGTGTAGGGTTCAATTAAATTGTAAAAAGGTGATATATCTTGTTGATTAGATCACAAGGTATCACTCGGACTAATCCACATTCTCACTGGGCCAGTCCAATCACAAGGTATCACTCAGACTAATCCACATTCTCACTAGGCCTGTCCAATTAAGGGGATAGGATTTTGAACTCCTATTAGTTTATGGTCGACACAATAATATCACCCCTATTAGTTTATGGTCCACACAATAATGTCACTCCCAATCGTTATATCCTACACCACGGCGCACATAGCACTGTGCGCCGCGCGCCTCCCAAAACGACGTCGTTTTGGGGTCGTGTTGGGAGGCGCGGTAGGAAGTTGCTGAGATTATGTGTATTCGTTCACAACGTTATGTGTATTCGTTCACAACGTTATGTGTATTGGTTCATACAGTTATGTGTATTTTTTATACAATTATGTACATTGTTTTTATACAATTATGTACATCCGAATCAGAAAATTTGTGTGTATTATGTTAAGAGTTGATGTGTATTATGTTAAAAGTTTATGTTTATTATGTATTATGTTAGATTATGTGTATTATCTTTTAAAAAGAGTATGTATGTTTTGTTATAACATTATGTGTATTCATGTATAACATTATGTGTATTCAAGTATAACATTATGTACATTCTTGAACAGCGGGTTTTATTTTAAAGAAAAGCCTACTGCCATTCACTGGGGCGGGAAATTTCAAAAAAAATAATAATTAAAACGACGTCGTTTTGCATCTGGGCGCATAGTGCAATGTACGCCGTGGTGTAGGATATAAATTGCTTGTCACTCCTATTAGTTTTTCCATACAAGATAAGATTTTAGTAGAAATTTAAAGCTGCTTCATACCCAATGTCAAAGATCGAACCCCTTTAGTTAAGTGTGAATGAGTCCCTCCCATTCAACCACACCTATCAGATTATGTCGTTTTTATATTAAATGTCAATTAATATATCATATTATATATTTAAATCGCGTTTTGAAGTGTTTTAATTTTATTTTACCTTTAATCAATAATATTTATTATTTCGGCCCTAATAACAAGTCAAAAACGAATTGCAATTATATTTAGAAATAAATATGTATCAAAGATGTATGTTGCTACATGTATTCTATTAAACATTGCATGTTACATTGCACAAGTGGCGGTGGGCATGCAAGCATGGGAGGATTTGTCAAAAAAGAATCTCAGAAAAAGGAAATCACACTGATAAAATAAAAAATAAAAAATAAAAAACAAAAAGCTATGCATGTGGTGACAACCATCTTCCTGTTTAATCATCTCAGTATCCTTCCATAAGGTGTCTGCACGGGCTTAACTCACTGATTTAATAAGCAGTATTTAGAAAAAGAGATTAATTTTCGAATCTCGGCAACGACTCTGTTATGATTATGCCCAAAATAAACAGATTCCTTATATACACCGGCATTTGATTATGTCGATTTGTTGAGCCATTGAGTCACCATGATTTTCATCTCTCAATGCTTTGTCGCGTCAGGATGTGAGGGACCCTTGGGTTGGTGATTCAACCTTTTGGAAGAAGAATCTCTGTATCCATTCATTAACTAATTTTTTTATTTTATTATTATTTTTATATAAATATGGTTGATGCATTCTTCCTTTTTTTTTTTTTTTTTTATAACAAAAATTAAATTAAAATCGCTTCTCTCTTGTAATTTGAAATCCGATCCAGTGTCATACAATCGTCAGACGCGATTTTTTTAGACCCAAAAAAGAAAAAAAAAATTACTTTGATAGAGAATCTGTGAGAATGTCATTATAAAGTTTTTGAGATTATAGGTTTATATACTATTTCATTGTACTTTTTACTATTTAAATGTTAATTTAAATATTTTATATATTCTTTTTAAAAATTTTATAATTTTTGAATTTGACTTTTCACCTTTTATGAAATTTCAGGGCTCCTACATTGTTTTTAATAAACTATGATAAAATATTTGATGGTGTACAAGTGATATACATTAAAAGCAAATTACAGCTCGTCACATTATTTTAAAAAATAAATATTATTTAATCTAAGCACCTATTAACCCTAATTATTATGTACTGACTACATTTAAAAAGAAAAAAAAAATGATAAGGGTCCATTTGGCCCTTTAAACTATAAGCTAAAATGCAATTGAATCCTTAAAATTAAAAGGTTTCAATTAGGGATCGATATGCTGTGAGCACGGTTTTATATTCATAATTTTTATACTGTAGATTCATAATTTCTATACTGTAGATTCATAATTTCTATACTGTAAATTCATAAAATTTATACTTTAGATTCATAATTTCTAAACAGTAGATTTATAATTTAAATACAGTAGATTCATAATTTTTATTCAATAGATTCATAATTTCTATACTGCAGATTCATAATATCTGTACTGTAGATTCATAATTTATGTACTGTAAATTCATAATTTTTAAACTGTATAGTTATCAATTATGAACATATAGTTCTCTGATTTGTGGAAACATAGTTCAACAATTGGAATCTAAAGTATAAATTTTATGAATCTACAGACTATAGAAATTATGGATCTACAGTATAGAAATTATGAATCTACAATATAGAAATTATGGATATGAAACCGTGCCCACCTTGGGATAATTTACCTTTAATTAGACACTTTAAATTCTCATTTTATGTAATTTAGACAATGATCTTTTAAATTCGTGCAATTAGATCAATTTACAAGTAAGCTCAAGTTTAGATAATAATGTGTATATATTATTAACATATAACTCAAATATTTAATGTGTATATATTATTATTAATGAAGAAGATAAAAAAAATATATGGTGGATGCATGTGCATGGTAACAATAGTGGAAAAGATAACGGAAGTTATAACGATAGTGGTATGTTTGTCTAAAATATTTTAATGTACAACTTTTATAGCATAATGTACAAAAAAACTTAACGGAAAAAACGGACATAAATCAAGGGTATAACTTTCATTCACACTTACTATGTTTTTAGATAATATAAAAGTGGTACTCAATTTTAAAAGTGAGAGAGATTTGTAGGGATGTAGAATAAATAGTGGAGAACTTGTAAATGTGATGATGTGGAAGTAAGACCCATTTTAGAAAGTGAGAAAGATTTGTTGGGATAAGGATAGCCTAATAGTAGGTAAAATTATTATTATTTTTAAATAATTTAAATATAATTTTTTTTTAAAAAAATCATAATTGGACAAAGAAGCTAACCGGTTATTCGGCTTCTCTGTATAGAGAAGTCGACTTCCTCGTCCAATTGGATAGAGAAGCCAATTAGGCTTCTATGTCGTTCGACGGAGAAGTCATGGTTGGCTTCTCCGTTAGGTTGGACGAAGATAACTCTACAATTTTTTTTAATGTTAATTAATTTATTTTCATTAAAAAATACTTTAAAGATTTTTAATTTTTTTTAAACAAATTTTAATTAATATTTTTTGAATTACAACAATAAATTTTTACCGGTTTCCTCAAGGTAACATGTTAATCAACCTAATTGCATAAAAAAGATGAGTTAAAAGTGTCTATGTGGAGCTTTTTTTTGTTTTTCAAATTTAAGATTTTCATTGTATTTTGGCCTATAGTTAAGTATTACGGGTTAAGAGTTGTCGTTCTGCAGGGGATTGACACTATGGCACGTACTTGTATAACTATTAAACTTTTAGACACTAAAACCTTTAACCTGCAAGAATCCAAGCACACTCATAAACATGGATAAATATATGATATATCAACACTAATTAAAACACTTAAAGTATGATGTAAACACAATAAGAAAAGATCATATAGGATTCAAGTTAGATAATATCACCTTCTATATGCTACAATAGCCTATGGGATTAAGGAGATCAGAGTCATACTCAACTTTGGGTTCCAAGATTGTCAACACCAATTTAGTGGACTAACACACCACTTTTGTGATCCATTATTAGGCCAAATTGAAGAACGAGGATTGTCCCACTTTCGTGACTGATAATGCATATAATGAACAACTTTTGCTCATATTTGTTTATTAAGTCTTGGCTTGCCTTCGTGATTTTTTGTGCTTAAATGATTGAATTTCTTATATGTTAATGGAAGGATATCCTATTAATATTAAGTTTAGAGTAAAAGACATTTTTAGTCCTAAATTTATAGTGGCTTGGACAATTTTAGTCCTTTATAAAAAAATTTGCCATTTTATGGACAGAGTTATTGTGGCGAGGACATTTTTGGTCCTCCGTCTATATTTCTGTTAGATAACCGTCTGAGAGAGGGGTAATTACGTCAATTTAGGCTATCTCCTTCTATCTATTATATCTATGTGTGTTTTGTTTTCTTCTCAGTCATAATTCAAAGGAGTCGGAGAGTCCAAGTTGCAGTTGTACGAAGAAATTGACGGAGAATCGAAGCCGCCAAACAGGTTACTAATCAAATAGATAGAAGGAGAATCGAAGCCGCCAAACACACATAGATATAATAGATAGAAGGAGATAGCCTAAATTGACGTAATTGCCCCTCTCTCATACGGTTATCTAACAGAAATATAGACGGAGGACCAAAAATGTCCTCGCCACAATAACTCTGTCCATAAAATGGCAAATTTTTTTATAAAAGACTAAAATTGTCCAAGCCACTATAAGTCTAGGAACAAAAATGTCTTTTACTCTTAAGTTTAGTATTATGATACAAAATTTATATATTCAGAAACTACACAAAAAATATTACTTTGTATTAAACATTAAAAAAATCAAATTCAAAAAATATGTAAAAGATACTAAGACCGTTAAAATGGGATAGTGTGAGTAATTAATAATAATAATAATAATAATAATAATAATAATAATAATAATAATAATAACTAATAACTAATAATAATAGCATATAGTAACCCAACAGGGTAGCTCAAGTGGCAAATAGCTCTCTTTGTGGGAGAGAATTTCGAGATCGCAAATTATGTTGTGGAAACGTGTTCACCATGCGCATGGTGAACACAGGGGTAGATCCATAATTTCTATACTGTAGATTCATAATTTTGTTTTCATTTGTTGTTAACGACGTTTCTCTCTTCGCAATCGCATTATTTCGTCTTCGCAGTACAGAAATTATGGATCTACAGTATAGAAATTATGAATCTACAGTACAGAAATTATGAATCTATAGTATATAAATTATGAATCTACAGTATAGATGTTATGAATCTACAGTATAGAAATGATGAACCTACAGCTTAGAAATTATGGATCTATCTCGTGTTCACCATGCGCACGGTGAACACGGTTCCACAGCATAACTATTGATTTCGGGATAACCGGGGCTCGATTCTCACAAGTGACGATGATTCCCTTTGGGCCAGCTCCTGTGTGAACCGGGTCAAAATAATAGCATATAGTAATAATAATCAATCGTTATGTTGTGCAACCGTGGTTGCAAAACGACGCCGTTTCATTAAAAAAAAAAATCCCGTTCGAATTGTAGTTAACGGCGTTAGATGGTTTCATTTCGTATTCAAACAGTAGGATATATCCATAAATTCATAACTATATATCCGCAAATTCATAACTATATATCCAGATCGAATTACATAACTATATATTCATAATTTGACAACAGTACATTCAGAAATAATAACTACACATTCATAATTTCATATCCATATATTCATAATTTCACAACTAGACATTTATAATTACATAACTCCATATTCAGAATTCTTAAAGTGATTGTTCACAGAGAACTATATCCATAATTTCAAAACAATATATCCACAATTTCATAACTTCATAACTATATATTCACAACTTCACAACTATATATCCATAACTTCATAACTATATATTCAGAATTGCACGTCGATTGGAGTTTTTGTAAAAAAAGAAAAAAAAAATTGATTGGTGGAGTTAAACGGTGTCACTAATGACACCATTACTCCATCATATTAAAATGATATCGTTTTGCAACCGTGTGCACCATGCATGGTGCACATGGTTGCACAGCATAATTTGCGAATAACAATAGAAGTAGTAGCTTGTTAATTTAAGAGTTAATTCCACTCGAGGTCCATTGTCTTTGGTGGCAATTCTAAATTTAGTCCCAGATTATCGTTTTTGTCATTTTACATCCCAGACTATTATGTTTTGGACACTTTTAGTTCTTGTCATGATTTTTTTTATTTTTTAGTAAGGGCATTTTTGTCTCTTCATATTTTTCTTTTGTTATTTTTCCAATTTCAACCAGTTTAATTTGTTTAGAACTTTAGGTAACCTCTGATTTTTAGTAACCATATTTTTCAACCAATTTTTAATAAAGTCCTAAACTAATTAAACTGGTTGAAATTGAAAAAATAACAAAAGAAAAATATGAAGAGACAAAAATGCCCTTATTAAAAATAGAAAAAATCATGAAAAGGACTAAAAGTGTCCAAAAACGATAATCTGGAATGTAAAATGACAAAAACGATAGTCTGATACTAAATTTGGAATTGTTGACAAGGACCTCCGGTGGAATTAACTCTTAATTTAATAATAATAATAATAATAATAATAATAATAATAATAATAATAATAATAATAGAAGTTTCTTTGATGGATGGGTGTTGAATTAAGTGTGAGAGGTTAGTACAACATGTGCAAATGTGCAATTGCAAACCACTCATATAAAAGGAGGATAAGAGCTGCTCCACCGGTCCCTTTCCTTCCAATTAACAACCAAACATACTAATTTAATATAAAAACCGGCAACCATTCCCAAACCTGAATTGTCTGTATGACTCTCTTTCGGCTGCTGCTGCTAATAACCCTTCTTCAAATTCATCTCATTTCCGTGCCCACATCTACCATTGTAGCCCAGCTGATTGAATGGCCAAAACAGTCGCCCACCACCGCCACGGCGGCCTGCGACGCCACCTCGTACCCTCATTCCTGTTCCAGCAGCCTTGTCGCCGGCATCAGAGACATCCCGAGCTGGTTGCCTTCCAAGGAGAGGAAGTTGCTTCAAATGTCACGCGGGAACATGCGAATCGACGCCGTGGTGGCGAACGATGGGTCCGGTCAATTCACCAGGATTAGCGACGCCTTGAAGGCCGCGCCGGATAACGGCGGTACGAGGTTCGTGATTTATGTTAAGGAGGGGGTTTATGTGGAGAACGTCGTGGTTGAGACGACCAAGTCGAATGTGATGATTATCGGCGACGGCATGGATGCCACGGTTGTTTCCGGCAGCTTGAGCACCGCTGAAGAAAGTTCCATGTTCAGTACTGCAACATTTGGTATGTTTTACACTTTTACTAGACTTTACCTTTACTCTCAAATATTACTTCCTCAAATTTATTCTCTGATGTAATAAGTTTTGATAGATTATTTTCTTTATCTGACAAAGTGTTTACGTCAAAATTTTAAGTAACAAGCCCCTTTCACATGAGTTAACTGCTTTCAATGTGTGTCATAACTTTCAAATAGTACTAATTAAAAACAAAATTTTGGTTGGTTAGTTTGTGAGCACTGATAAATTGTGGGTGACTCTTTGTGAGCACAGATAATTTTACTTAAAAGAGATGTTAAGTCACCTTGTAATCTAGTGGCACCAAGGTCGTTGCACTTCCATATGAGAGGTTGTAGGTTTGAGCCTCACTCTTTGTGCTTCAGTAGGTTTATAAAGTAGTTATGAACAGATACTACATTGTAACAGAGTCAGTAATATTACAATTAAAAAGTCATCTTGATTTAATTTAGCTATAATTTTTGTAGAATTAAAGTATGAGACATTTCACCTATATATATGCATTGAAGTGGGTAAATGGTTCCTCAACACTCCATTATTAATTACATTTAAACTCTAGTGAAGAAAATCCAGTAATCAGTTTGCTGTCTTTCATGTTTTTTAAATTTTGAAATTGATGTTTCAGCGTATTGGTTTGTGTACAGCTTCTAGGCCAGTTGGCTTCACGTTTTTGTAGTTTTACCATTGCATATAATATTGTCCAAAAACTTATTTTATAATTATTATAATAGTAGGGGCTCTACCGACTTTTGACTTTTGCACCACAAAATTTTGGACTATTGTTTATTGTATATATTTTGTGCACAAGTTGTAATATGTACATATATTCAATCTTGTGGAATATTACTCTTTATTCGTTTCAATAAAGATTTTTTTTAAAAGACTGCTATATATGAAACTTTGAGAAACTTTTCCACTTTTAGAAAAAGTTTTCTTCATTCGGAAATAAAGATGTTATTTTAATCTTTTCTTTGTTATTTTATTATTTCGAGTAAACAAAATTCTTCTTTTATTATTTCTAATATCATAAAATTATATAAAAGTTATAAGATTTTAATTGAAAAAAAAATGGTGTAATTGTAAAATTTTAACTGATACATTATATTTTCTCTTTTATATATTTGTAATTTTTTTTTTTAAATTTTACCATCTTTATTTTCTCGCTAATAATTAACCTTATATTAAATATAATTTGTATGTTATGTTTATTTAATTATATATGTTAGGCTGCCCCAGTCTAGCATACTATTGAAGTGTGACGCGGCTGCTACACAAATCTAAAAAAAATAAATTGTACCTTTAATTTATTATTAATTACGGAGTATAACTTTTAACTTAGTGGTAAGAGTTTGATTTAATTTGACAATTGATATCAGTAGAACAAAAAGCATATTGTGTAATTTGCTATAGCTTTTATATATAGTGACGGTATAGTTAAATTTTGTTGTTAGTGTGAAAAAAGAATTAATGATCGTTTTGGTCTATGGACTATGCCGTAATTACCAAATTGATTATTGGCTATCAATTTTGACCAATTAAATTATTAACTATTAATTTCGTAATTAATTTGGTCATTCGTAATTACCAAATTGATTCTTGATCAGTTTGACAGAGAGTCAAATCGGTTACGAATTCAATAGTTAAGAATTTATAATCGATGACTAATTTAATAATTATGACATAGTCGATGGACCAAAACTGTCATTAATTTGTGAAAAAATGGTTGTGAGCTCATGGAATATAATCCGTGGTTTAATTTGCAGGTGTGTTGGCCACAGATTTCATTGCTTCCGACATTGGGTTCCAGAACACCGCCGGAGCAGCCAAGAATCAAGCGGTGGCGCTAGCCGTAGCCGGCGACCGGGGAGTCTTCTACCGGTGCAAAATGGTGGGGTTCCAGGACACGCTGTACGCGCAAGCCAACCGTCAATTCTTCCGCGACTGCGCCATCTACGGCACAATCGACTTCATCTGCGGAGACTCCGCCGCCGTGTTCCAGAACTGCGACATCCGCCCCCGGCGACCACTGCCGGGGCAGTTCAACAGCATCACCGCCCAGAGCCGCGCCGACCCGAGTAGCGAAACCGGGTTTTCGTTCCAGGACTGTCGCATTACGCCGGCGGAGGATCTCTCCGGCGTCCAGACGTTCTTGGGGCGGCCATGGATGAGCTATTCAAGGACGATTTTCATGCACACGTATATGGATTCTCTGATCGATCCCCGAGGATGGGTGGGGTGGACGAGCACCGCCGCCCCCGACACCGTTTACTACGCCGAGTTCGGAAACTACGGCCCCGGCGCCGCCACGGCGAACAGAGTTGAGTGGAGGGGATTGCATTTGGGGATTAGTAGTGCAGAAGCTGGCAGATTTAGCGTTGACTCTTTTATCGGCGGAAGCTCTTGGCTTCCCGGAACCGGTGTTTCCTTCAACCCTGGTATATCATCATCTATCAAATCTCCAATTTTGTTTTAACCCTCAAAAAGTTTTCTAAATGCCAATCAACACCCATACTTTTTATATAGGTTTAGGAAAACTGGAAAAGCGTCAAATAGGCCATCGAACTTTACCTTAAAAGTTAATTAGGTCCCTAAACTTTTTAATTGTGCAATTACACTCATCAACAATTTATTTAGGTGCAATGAAGCCCAAAAACAAGTTAATGACCTACTATCACTGATCATTAGAGTTAAGGCCACCTTCCGACAAAAAAAAGTGACCAACGACCGAGCAACGAAATTTCATGCAAAAAGAGTGACCGACGAACGGTCGCTGGTCACAAAGAAGGCACCAAGGTTGCCTTCTCCGTGGGGATGGCGACCACTGGGTCACCTTCAGAAGCAACCCAGATTTGGGTCGCCTTTTCGCTAGAGAAGGCAACCTAGATGTGGTGCCTTCTCCGGTTGAGAAGGCGACCATCTGAGTCGCCTTCTCTACAGAGAAGGCGATCGATCTAGATCTGACCCGTTTCCCTATAGGATATATACGAAAATACATGATATGTTTGCACGAGCTCCTTGTGCGCAGTAAACAAGGATCTAACATCTGTAGTTCAGTTAAATTATCATGATTTACCTCCTCCCAGATACTTTGTAGGGCCGAGATGTGGGACCCTTGAGGTCAAGAATTCAACCTTTTGAAAAGAATGATATGCATGTCTAGTTGCATCAAATAATTTAATTAACTATACTCAATATATTCGAAAATCAAACAGAGTGTATCTTCAACATGTACTATAAAAATTTATTTCTATTATATTTGATTATCTATTCGGACAAACTTTGATGTGGGATTTAACAACAATTAGAAAATCAATTATATTGTCTAAATTTAGTATATACTTTTATATAGATTGTACATATGTCTGTAACAAACATGAAATACTATTATAGTTAAAATATGTGTAATATAATAATGTAAAGTTATAATCTTTTATTTGGTTTTTATTTAGTTGATGTAACTTATTACTTATGTTTGGTTATACATATGTAATATGTTGAGCAGGAACGGAAGCGGGGAATGGAATGGATGTTTTTGTAGGGAGTTGCGACAACAGAAAACTGAACATGGCTGTATTGCTCATATGTTTGTTGATTGTTACGTTGTTGCGTGGGGTATTTGAGGAGTGAAGGTTTAGAATACTTTATTTATTATTATTATTTATTCTTAAATTCTTATTAATTTAGGAGGAAACACGTACATTTTTTATTTTATTTTTTTTATAACAACAATAATTCATTAATCATAAATAGGAACGTTTACAGCAAAGCTCGATATCCTTACAATTTGACATAAAAATAACTTCCCTAGCTAAGCTATAAAAAACTTGAATCCCAGATTGTTTTAATCATAAATAGGAAACATGTACATTTATTTTCTCTAACTAGTCTTTTTTATGTGCGATGCGCAAAATTAAGTGCACAACATTAGTATTCAATATTAAAATCATAGTTATACTTTTTTTAAAAATAAAATTTTATATACTTTTTTTAAATTCATAAAATTTATATTTGTAGAATTCATATTATATATTAAAAAGTATATTAATAATTATGGTATGATTATAATTTATTTATTACATATTCTAATATAATATCTACATATATTATTACAATTAAAAAATGTAAGAAAATATATGGTGGATACAAGTGCAATGGTAATAGTAATGGAAATAGATAACGGAAGTTACAACGGTAGGGACATTGTTGTCCAAAAAATTATATAGTACAACATTTATAATTTAATGTATCAAAAAAGATAACAGAAAAACGGACATAAATGAAGGGTACCAACCTTCATTCACACTTATTAGATTACTAGTTTTTTACGCGCATTGCGCGATTGGGATAATGCCCAATGTTTTTTTTTTTTTAAATAAGTACTTTAAAGTATATTAAGGCAATATTATATTGAAATTGTTCATGCATAGATAATTGAAGGTTGAATTTGCATATTTAAATAGGTAATTCTTCTCCCAAAGGTTGAGTCCCCAACCCCAAGGGTCCCCCACACTCCGACCCGACAGAGCATTGTGGGAAGTTGTAAATCACGGTGACTCAATGGTTCAGCAGACAGGACCAAATGCCGGTGCGAACAAGGAATCTGCCCACTTTGGACATAATTCCCGCACTGCCGCCGCCGAGGTTCAAACCTTGGTCTCTTCTCCCAAATACTGCCCACTAAACTATTGAGCTAAGCCCGTGCAGGTTAAATAGGTAATTCTAAGTTTACAAATGCAAGATAATATAGTCAAGATTGATTATAATTGTCAATAAAATAATTGTATAGGTATGGTTGAAACCAAATACGGGACATAAGGGAGAACAAATAAAAATTAGGGTATAAAATATTAAATATATACTAATATTGTTTGAGGAGATTTCGACATTAGGATTTGTGGTTAAGTTCTATTAAGACTAATATTAGAATTAGATTAATGGTGTAATTATAATTCTATATTAGATGTTAATATTAGAATTAGACTAACGGTGAATTAACGGTATTTAACGGAAAAGTTAAATGGATAATCATATAATTAAGGATAAATTAGAAAAACTTTTAAAAAAAATTAAAACCTGAACAATTTGAACCATTCATTTGATTTAATAATTTGGCGATCATTTTTTCTACCCAATGTTAATAATTAAATAAATTCGTTGGTCAAATCCGCTAATATAATCCGCTAACTGCTGATTGTCAAACAAGGACATTGCAAGGTTGGCTTTATTAATTATATATATATTTTTTTATTTTTTCATGGTATTAATAAAATACTTGGTAAATAAATATATAGCATTATTTTGTATTATAACTTTGATATTTAATTAGAAAAATAGTGCACAAAAAAGATAATAGACAATGTAGTGAATATAATCAATTGATGACTTTGAATGTAAAAATTTTTACATTTGAAAAAAATAAAGACAATATAACTAATGAAAATATTTCTCTTAATTAATTTATTGATAATGAATAATTTTTTTTCACTGAATTAAGACATTGTAAAGACAATGTAGCGAATATAATCAATTAATAAATTTGAATATAAAGAATTTTTATATGGTAGAAAAATAAAGACAATATAACTAATACAATTATTTCTCTTATTTAATTTATTGATAATGAATAATTTTTTTTTGAATAAAGGCATTGTGGACACATAATTCTAAATTTTTTTTTTGAATGTTACTGGCCCTATTACATATCTATAATTTTTTGTTGTAGCTACTAAATTATTATTTATATAATTTAATAAGAGTAAAATAGAGTACTAATTATGCCAACTTTGATTGGGATGAGGTTTGAACCTAAGACATTTTTTTTATTGAAATCAATGAGTAAGTTAACGGTGAACTAACGGCAATTCTTAAAATTTTAACGGAATTAGTAACGGTGTGTGGGTATTTTAGGAAATTTTAGTGTAAAATTTAAATCTTATTAATCTTTTAATCAATCTGAGCCATTCATTTAATTAAAATCTGTGACCGCCATTTTTTCTACCCATTATAGGCCTAACTCTCTTGGGCTCTTATTAGTATATATAGTAGATATAGTAGATTAGATTATTAGATATTAGATATTAGATATAAAAGTTTTTTTTTTTTTTAAAAGGTAACAAATTGAGCATTAATTAATATATAATAATAAAGAATTATTTGAAAGAACCGCCCCAAGATCAACACTGGACCAGATCGACCGCAGATTCAAACATCATGAGTTCATGACAGCATAAATCGAAATGGCTATTTCCAAAAAAAAAAAAAAAAAAAAAAAATCTAAATGGCTTTGGTTGTCAGAATACAATGAATTCCACGTTTTTTTTTTTTTTTTTTTTTTTTTTTTAAGTACCACGGTTGGAATTAATTATTAGAAAATGTTATATGTACTCACATTTTCAACTCTTAAATTTTACTTACACTCACACATAAAATTTTAATTTAGATACTTGTATAGGGACACATGAAAGAAATAGTTTATCAAAGCTCACCATATCATAGAGTAAAATTAAGAGAGTAAAATTTGAGAATACATGTAGTAACACTTTTAATTATATATAGGAGATAATCAAAATATTTTGATTTGTTTAAAATTTTAAAATATTATTTTTTAAGATTTTTTAATATTTAGTGATTCAATAAAAATATTTAGTTTTGACAATTTAGTGTACTTTTTAAAGAATATTATACTCTATTACCTTAACTTATAAATTTTAATATTTGTTATTAAGATATATATAATTTTTTGAGTTAATGTTCAAAATGGTTATCGACTTTTTTTTTTTTTTCAACCTAATTTAGTCATAGATTTGTGTGTTTTTATTCAATAATATAGTTCTCTTTTTGTTATTTCATTCAATAGCGGTTAAATAAAAGGACATTTTGGTAATTGCAACTTACCCAAAGTGAATAGTGGGCAAGAAAGAAGAAGCGCAGATCTGCAAATCTTGATTGATGATGGATTTGGGGTTGAAGAAATGGTGTAATGATAATGCATTTAATTCGGCGAGTAGCGACCCCAACTACATTCCCTAATAAGGAAAGTTAAGCCACCTTACAAAAGAAAACAAGAAATGGCAACCACATCCTTAATTAGCTCATTAACAAACTTCAATGGCTATTATTTGAAGGAGAAAATGGTATTACAGATTTTAATTTGCAAATGGTTGTTAGCACTTAGGAAGTAAATGAAAGAGGGCCGGGTGAAATATTTCCATTACCAAAATCTCCTTCTATTTAATCGTTATTGTTCACGGAATAACAAACGGATAACGTATTACATTAAGCAAAAATACGTAAATTTGACACTAAATTATGTCACAAAAGTCACTGAGAACGAAATTGAGAAAGATCATTATTGCCGAGAACTATTTTCAGTATTAAAACATTTTTTTAAACGAATATAATATCATACTCCCTATGCAAATATACTATGTATGCTAGGTGCAGCGGTGCGGTTAATTGTAGGCCATTAGATTAAAAAAAATCCAACAAATCACATTCATGGGGCTTTTCCGATATTTTTGCGCACGTTCTCACACTACGCGAACTGCAAGGTTAAAGTCGTCATTGGGCACCAGAATAGATCAAATCATAGTGTTGTGTGTTTTATGTTCGTTATTGGTGCATTATTAACCTTACTGTGGTGTATTTGAGGATTCGTGTTAGTGTCAAGTTCAGGTGTGCCCGTGCCTTTTCATGCGGTCAGTGCGGGCACACTAATAGTTATTCAAATATACACCATCCATGTTAGAAAATTCACATAAAAAAACATGCACATATTAGATATGCATCACCAGAACGCACCATTAAGTTTGAATAAAAGCATCACATAGTGTTTTGAAATACACCATTGGGGTAGTGAGTTATATGGTGTATTTTTTGAGTGTGTTGTGTGTTTTTTGGTGTATTTGTGCATTTCATTGTGGTGCTTTTTCCTAACACTATTGGTGTCTTTTGTTAACACTGTTGATGTATTCTGACAAGCGACCGATATAAATGACTACTACAATTACCATAACACCCCCAACTTACCAGGACGCGCTTAAATCTTTAAATCTTCAGAAATTAGTCGCTGCCGTTAGATTAAGCAGAATGGACGATGCTGATATGGCCGCACCGCCGCACCTAAGGCCACTGCCGCATTTGAGCGCTAATATATATATATATATATATATATATATATATATATATATATATATATATATATATATATACACGGAAGGGATCAGGTGCGGGGAGGACTTCCCGGGCAGTTGTGCGGGTGGATACACATTAAGTATTAAACTGACGCACTTTAAATACACAATGCACGCACATTAAGCACACAAACAAAACACCTTAAGAAAACAAACTCACGCACATTAAGCACAAAACTCACGCACATTAAGCACAAAACTCACGCACCTTAAACACAAAACACACGCACATACATTAAGTTTCAACAACTACTCACATTAAGCACAAAACTCACGCAACTTAAGCACAAGACTCACGCACCTTAAGCACTAGACTCACACACATTAAGTACAAAACCCACGCACCTTAAGTACAAAACTCGCGTACCTTAAGTTTCAACAACTACTCACATTAAGCACAAAACTCACGCACTTTAAGTACAAGACTCACGCACTTTAAGTACAAAACTCACGCACCTTAAGTTTCAACAACTATTAACATTAAGTACACACCCATGCTCCTTAAGCACAAAACTCACACACCTTAAGCACAAAACTTACGCACCTTAAGTATAAAACTCACGCACATTACTCACCGCACAACCACACGGGAACTTAATTATATATATATATATATATATATATATATATATATATATATATATAATTGAAGTGTGGAATGATAATTAAAAGCTAGAGATCAATGGTCTCTTTAAAAAAAAAAAAAAAAAAAAAAAGATAAAATATAAGTCATTCATAATACAAAGATCAATGGACATAATTTGACCACACAGACTCATGGAAAATGGTAGACTCACCTGAATAGTGACATATATATTTACAACTTTAATAAGAGCCAATATTGTTAGACCCTTAACGGGAACTAAAAAAATGTCGGTACACCAATATGCTCTAAATGATTGTACTTTGCGCTCTTCTAATTGTACAATGCCCAAGTAAAATCCTAATATACCCTCATTCTTCTTAGATTTAGCAAGTTTAGAATGTTAAATTTAACAGATTCTGTCAATTGAAATTGCGGTGGCAAATTTGTAGTTTAACTGAAGTTGAATGGCAGTTAGGAGAAGCACATTTGTAAATTGAGAACGAACTTTAGGGCAAACTACTGTCCTCAGCGTATGGTAAAGCACTGGTACTTTTCACGGCAGCAACACAAGCGAGGAAAATCACAGCTAAAGCAAAATTGCGAAATTCGAAAGGAGGGGAGCCGATTTGGTCTCCGTGTGTATGGTATGACGCATACGGTAAGTCGCTCCTAGAACTCCATTTTCCTTCGATTTGAACTCTGTTTTTTTTTTTTTTTTTTTGTTGTGCCAAAACCATCGTACAATCCAATTCCTCAGTGAATATGATCAACACATTCCTTTCATCTAGAGATCCATATGTGTTGTGCCAGTGAAAGGGAACATCTTCTGAAATTTCGCCCTAATCACACTGGTTGGGAGCATCTCTTTCAATAATTTCCCAAGCAATGTTGATTTCATCTCCTTTTCTGCTAATTTTGATATGATATGTTTATTCTTGTGTTTATCAACACATTCCTTGCATCTAGAGAGGGAATGTATATATGTGTGTATTATCTACTTCTATCTCCTTGTGTTGTGTCCACTCATTATCTGCTTCACATTTTTGCTTATTTATTAGTGTCTTGAATTATTTTTTAGTTACTCTTTCACACAGCCAATATAAGCAAAAACATTAATAAATCTGAACTTATTTCATGCATTTCATTAGTAAATTTAGTGAGCCTTATCTTAGGTGTTGGTATGTTTACATTATTCATATACCAGAACACATTGATGTAAAGGCACTTTGGGAAACTATTGCTTCTGATGGTTGGAGGCCAACATCAGCTCATCTAATACTTATTGAATGAGGGGTAGTCATTGGTGGAATGGGGTATGGTGGAGCATAATGACAGCTGCTTGCTGCTGCATCACCAACACATTATGACTGCAACAGTACAAACAGAAAACGTAAGTTCAACCTTGTTCCAATTAGCAGGATGGATCTTCTGATCCTGTTACTTCATTTAATTCATGGCAAGACACCATTATTCATTAAGTTCAAACTTCAATCATCAATTGATAAATAGCAGAATAAAAGGAATGAATGTATAAAGAGTCAAAGGATCAAGCTAAGAAATCAAACCACATGCCACCCTTATTAATCCTACAATAATAGCTTTACTATTTCATGTTTTTGTTCCTTCACAAAATGCTAAATCCTTAAATTTCTGTCTTTTTTTTTTTTTTTTTTTTTCACAGCATCCAAGGACTTGGCCGGGAAGCTTAGTTTCGATATGGTATTAAGGTTTAATTTGTCTTCATAAAACTAATTACCCAAATACCAACTTTAATAATATATACTTTTTTTTCTAAAAAATATATTTTGTTTCTGACCATAGCTTTGATTGCTGTTAGAGAATGAGTTATTCAGTTGGGAGTTATTCATAAGGTTGATCATATTCTATTATTCACAGCTATAATTTAATATAATAAATTGTTTTTTCCGTTTTGTATTGCAAACTCCTTTATTTATTTATTTTAATGTAGACATTTATTTTTGATAATGTAGAAAGATCAGAATTCATAATTGTATTCTCATTCATGGGTTTGAATTTATTGTTTTTAAATAGCTCTGTTATGGAGTCTCACGATTCTGAAATCCCTGAATCCAGTATGCAACAATGGTTCCTGCTAAGAAACGACAAATGCTAGATGATCTTAACGAAAAGCGTCAACAGAAAATTAATGTAGCCAAGTCTACACTAACTCACGACGTCAATGCTGGTATGCTTTTGAATAGTTAAATTTGTCTTACTATGAATTCAATTCTTCAACTTATGTACACTAGAACTAACTTGTTTACATGCATTTGATTATACATCAGTTGATTATGCAATTTTAAAAAATATTCTATGATATTTCAAAATGAATAAAGGTCCTTCAGAAGTAGTACTCAGAGAAACTTCTCAAGAATGTTTGCAACACAACAATACTCTTTCTTCTAAAATATGTAATGATCAATTTCAAAAGATTTAAAGATGTGTACAACATGAATAATGATGTATCTTTGCTGACTTTAAAAAGTTTGTAAATGGAGTTTTAGTTCTGAATTTGCATGAGCATTTTATTATTAAGATTATTATTATTTATTATTATTATTATTATTATTATTATTATTATTATTAGGTTCAAACTCAGTCAGAGTGTTCTGAAGATGAGCTCATGAGCTGCTTTCTGTTGTGAATTGTGATTATGAAGGTAGGTATCATTTTGCTAATTATATTATTTGTTTTTGGCTTTAGCATTTCAATCATGTCAGAGCAGCAGGCTGTTTAAATAATTGCCCGTATTTAATAATGCAACTCTATTTCTCATTAGAATGGTAGAAAAGTTATATGTGGAACTCTGCTATTGTACTCATGGGCTTGTTTAAGGATTGCAGGTATTTCATATTCAGGAAGAATAAGTGAATTAGAATGGAAATATTGGATCTCTCATCTAATTGTTGAACTTGTTTGGACTCATTTTAATTTTCTTGGCTTTTATTTTCCAGTGATCGATTTTTCGATTTGTCACCAAACTCGGGTTCAATCAATAGTGTTTGATCATGACATTAGAATGCATAATCTTACTCTACAGACCAACATGTAGTAAATCATCTCAAATGCCATTGTCAAACCTCTCTGTACAAACTATAAAGTAGTTAATCACAAATTACTGATAGAAGTGGATGCCTTGTTGCATTCGTGTTTGGAAAATGTGCTGAACAACTATTATTCTTAACCAGTAAACAAGTTATGTAATTAGCACAACAGGTACTACTCCACTTCCAGCCACAAGCACTCATGTTTTACATTAAATTAACCTATGACTAACTACATATGAATCTTGCAGGGTCAACAACTAAGAATTCAACATATCAATAACTACTTACAAGATGAAGACTACTAATACAATTGAGATCTCAATCCTATACACAAGGCAAAACACATGGTATCATATACCATAACATCATTGCACGAATCATTCTCATTGACTACCACAAGTAAACAAGATGGAGAAGATGAAGACAATTTTGAGCCTCAACAAAAGCGCACAAAGAAAAATTAATTTAATTTTCTTGTACTCTTTATCCAATTGTTTTATTCTAGTGGTTGATCATGATAGACAGTTAGCTTTAGTTAGTCATTTATTTGTTTTTACTTGTAGTAATTTAATTATTTTCAATTTCTTTATTTCGTTTTTTTATTAAAATAAGAGATTTTATCATTTTTTCTCTCATTATTATATAACTACTTTAACCAATTCAAGAACACTAATTTAAAAATATACATTGGGCATTAGTTTAATTGCGCAACGCGCATGTGATAACTAGTATATATATATAGTAGAGTAGAGTTTAGGCGGACGCACAAATAGTTATGCAAATATGCAGTAACAATAGTAGAAAATGCACAACACAAATATGCACCATTAGGTACGCATCACCAAACAAAGCACCATTAGGTATGCATATAAGCACTACACAACGTTCGAAAATGCACAATTAGGTGTGGAGAGTTATGGTGCATTATTTTGGATGTGTAGTGCGTTTTTTTTTTTTTTTTTTTGTATTTGTGCATTTCATTGTTGTACGTTTTTCTTTAACACTATTGGTGCTTTTTTCAAGCCGCCACCCCAACCGTACGGGAAGGCACAACTGCATACCTCTATATGAAGAATTTATTGAATGACAGCGCACCACAAGTTAAATGGTTTTGTTCTAATAAATTCTTTAATATTGTCACAACATTTTCATAAATATGTTGCACAACCAAATTTTCAATAATTTGAATATATATATATATATATATATATATATATATATATATATATATATATATATATATATATATATATATATATATATATATATATATCCAGCTGTGTATAATATTTAGAGAACTAGCCCATGTTTAAACATGAAAACCACTAAACTAAAACATTCGCATACATCTTCGATCACACCCAAAACCCTTCATGCCTTGCACGTAATCTTGCGATTTATATACATATATATAAACAATAAACCTCCAAACCCATTCTAAAGAAGAGCTGCTGCAAATTAAAACCCAGTGAAATGGCGGCAGCACCTCCAAACAAAACGGCGCGACTCAGCATCATCATAGGATTATCCTGCGTCGTTCTTGTCGCATGTGTTGTGGGCGTTGCTGTCGGAGTCGCCAAAAACCAAAACGGAAAATCTAAACCCTCCGGCGACCGGAGCCTGTCCGCCACCTTCAAAGCCATCTGCGACGCCACATTGTACCCTGATTCCTGTTACGCCAGCCTAGGACCCGCCGCCATGTCCGACAACCTAAGACCTCAAGACATCTACAAGCTGTCTGTCCGTATCGCCGTCGGCGAGCTCTCCAGGGCCTCCGACGCCTTCTTCAACGGCGATGCGTTCAGGAAAATCTCCGATCCCATGGCTGCCAGGGCTCTGGAGACCTGCCGCGATCTATTGTCTCTCGCCATGGAAAATCTCAACGACTCTCTGGCCATTCCTGAGAAAACACTGTTCCAGTCATTCTCCGATCTCAAAACGTGGCTTAGCTCCGCCGGGACTAACATGGAAACCTGCGCCGACAGTTTCAGTAACACAACGCATGAATTAAGTACGATGGTTTTGAAAAACCTCAAGAATTCGAGCGAGTTGACGAGTAACAGCTTAGCCATCTTGAGCGAAGTAGAAAAGTCGATTGAATATTCTGTGGGCATCTTGGGTTCTGTCGGAAAACGGCGGCGGTTAATGAATCTTGACCCGCCGACCTGGTTGTCGAGCCATGATCGGAGATTATTGGTTGAGAGTTCAAGTTGGGGTTTGAAGATTGATTTTGTGGTGGCGAAAGATGGGTCCGGAAAATATAAGACGATTAAGGATGCCCTGGAGGCGGTACCTGATAAAAGCGACAAGAGGTTCGTCATCTACGTGAAGAAAGGAATGTACTTCGAGAATGTTAAGGTTGAGAAGTCGAAGTGGAATGTTATGATGATCGGCGATGGAAAGGATGCCACTGTCGTTTCCGGCAACCTCAACTTCGTCGACGGCACTCCCACCTTCCAAACTGCAACATTTGGCAAGTTCATCCTTCCTATCATATATATATCACTCACTTTTTTCCACGTATAGTCTCACAACCCACATTTGATTTTAGGACATTTAAATTCATATCATATCTGTTTTTTTTTTTTTTTTATCTAATTTTTTTATCACTAATGATCAAATTTTAGGCAAATAACTTTATCTTGCATGAAGGCCAACAAAATTATCATTTCCAATCCCCTCCGGAGAAATTTAAGAAAAAAGTTATGAAAAAATGACAATTTTATAGTCTAAAATAAATTATGGGTTATAAAAAAATTAGGTCGAATAGACCAAATGTGACAATGATTTAAAAGTTCTCAGATCAAATGTAAAAAAAAAAAAAAAAAAAAAAAAATAGTCAAAGGCTAAATGAAGAAATTGTCTCATAGTCGTGGAACCAAGAGAATAAATAATCTCATAGTCGATCGTTAGGGATGACAATGTACCCCGTCCCCGTCCGGGATCCCCGTCCCTGTAGGGGATGAGGACGGAGACGGGAAAAAATACCGGGAATCAGGGACGGGGACGTGGAGGTTTTTAAATTCCCCGCCGGGGATGGGGACAAGGATACTCCTCCCCGCCCCGCCCCTTCCCCGAAAATTTAAAAAATATTATATATATTAGAAATTAGGAATTATATTATTAGTTATTTAATTTTAGTAGATTACTTCACTGCCAAAATAATCCACTTAATTTAATTTATAAAATTAAAATCTAAAACATAAACAATTAAACATCACTAAGTACTCAGTATTATACTATAGTTTTAAAAATAACTCTATTAGGACTTTGAATTTCATTTTTTCCTTTTGTATTTTTAAAAATTGTCTTAATTTGAGACTTCGACTATAGGTTGATCGGGGATTCCCATCCCAGTCAAATTTCTCACGGAACGGGGACAGGGTCGAGATAGCGGGAACGGAGACAGGGTCGAGATAGCGGGGACGGGGTACTCTCTGTCCCCGTCCCCGCCCCCCCCCCCCACCCCACCCCGTTGCCATCCCTGAGGTCCCAAATAAATGACTACTTGAATCGGGGTTTTGAGCATAAAGATTCCACTGACCTGTAAAAAGTGGGTTAGTCATGGACCGAAAGTGAAAAATAAAACTCTATATCACTAGTAATTTTTTTTGAGAAAATATTACTAGCTAGTAATTAATTCTTCATTTTCATGCATGCATAATATGCACTAAATTAGTAATCATAAGTATAATTTATATATAATTACATATAAAATTCTTTTTGCTTGCGGTGTAGCTGTGTTTGGAAAAGGATTCATTGCACGGGACATGGGATTCCGGAACACCGCCGGCGCGGCCAAGCATCAGGCGGTGGCGCTAATGTCGGCGGCGGACCTCTCCGTCTTCTTCCGCTGCAAAATGGAGGCCTTCCAGGACACGCTGTACGCCCATTCCAACCGCCAATTCTACAGAGACTGCGACATCTCCGGCACGGTGGACTTCATATTCGGCAACTCCGCCGCCGTCCTCCAGAACTGCAACATCCTCCCCAGAAAGCCCCTCCCCGGCCAGCAGAACACCATCACAGCCCAGGGCAAAACCGACCCGAACCAAAACACCGGAATCTCCATCCATAACTGCACGGTTCGGGCCGCGGAGGACCTCGCCGGAGCGCCGACGTTCTTGGGGCGGCCGTGGAAGAATTATTCCACGACGGTGGTGATGCGGTCCAGTATGGGGAGTTTGGTTGATCCCAAAGGGTGGTTGCCGTGGGTCGGAGATTCTGCGCCGGACACCATTTTCTACGGCGAGTACCAGAACTTTGGGCCCGGTGCGGTGACCGGAGGTAGGGTTAACTGGAAGGGGTTGAAGGTGAACATTACTAGTCAAATTGCCAGGAAGTTTTCAGTTAAGCAGTTTATTCAAGGTGATAAGTGGATTCAGGCCACCGGAGCAAGGTTCAAACCAGATATTTGAGAGAAAACAATTCAAAGATTTCCGTTTCAATACAAATTTATTTCAAAATTCCGTTTGTTGAAGGACCCTTGAGACATATTTTACATTATTATTAAACAATGACGGAACCCAAATTTCTATTTGTTGTATTATGGTTACATAAAATTATAAAATACCTTTTCTTTAAAAAAAATATTTTGGTTAGATATACATATACACACATATATTAACCGAGGAAAATGTGTCAAATATGCCACAGAACTTATAGTTTCGACGCTATTAAACCAGCAAAATATGTGCAATTAAGATATTTTTCTAATAACGGCATGAGTAATTGTGTACTCTTATCCTTTTAAGAAATGTTGGGAGTTTAAAACCTCATCTTATTATATGAAAAATCAATATGACTAGCATTTTACTCAACCTAGTGCGAACATAGATTAGTCTGAGTATGATATAGATTTAAATGTGGTACTTATAGTTAGGATCTACTCATAACATTTCATGGTTTAACAAAAAAGAAGAAGATATTTTTCTATTTTTTCTTAGTAGAATCGACTCACAATGCTTACATATGGTACATACTAATAGTTTTTCTTTCCTATGTCGTTCTTTCAAATTTCTTTCCTATGTCATGTTAGTTAGGGTGGGGGACATGCATAGATTGAAATGTTTTTAACTCAAATTACACAGAAAGATATCAAAGAAAATGTCTCAGTTACACATTAATCAAATATAACTTCTAAATTAGATATTTGTAAATTGGAATAGTTGATAAACAAAATGTTAATATAACTGCATATACCAATTAACATCCGATACAACTACATAAATATGTCCTTTTGTATCGGGCACTATAATTATCCATAAGATTAGTCAATTGTTTATTGTTATATGGTAGACCATAGTTCACACAACTATGTGGATTATGGTTCAAACGGCGTTGTTTTTTTAAGTAAAAAAAAAAAAAGACGATCAGTATATTTAACAAATTTCGTATTTATAATGTGCTCAGAATAAAATGAAAGTAGAGTGTATCTAAAATTAAAATGAATAACTTGTCTCATATATTGAGTGTATATTGTCAAATGAAATTATAGTTGAATTAGAATAATACTTTAGTTGTACATGTAATGTTGCGATGAGACTATAGTGTATCTAAAATGAAATTGAATAACATGTCTCATATATTGAGTGCATATTGTCAAATAAAACTGTAGTTGAATTAAAATGATACTCTAGTTGTGTTGAAATGAAACTACAATGTGTATAAAATGAAACTAAATAACATGCCTCACATATTGATAATATATGTCGAATGAAACTATAGTTATATCAAAATGATACTTTAATTTAGTTGTGTTAGTTGTAATGAAACTACAGTGTATATAAAATGAAACCGAGTAACAATTTCACATATTTGAGTGTATATTGTCCAATAAAATCGTAGTTGAATTAGAATTATACTTTAATGGTGTTGCAATAAAACTACTGTGCGTATAAAATGAAATTCAATAATTAGTTCTACTACATGTATTCTCGAATCTTACTCCCTAAATTTACTCTCTTATGTAGCGGATTCTGATAAGTTATTTTCTTCATATGGGTCTCAATACATGTGTCTACATCAATATTTTGTGTGTGGGAGTACAAAATGAGGAGTACATGTAGCATTTTCCTTCAATATTAGATTTCACATATTGAGTGTATAATGTCAAATAAAACTGTAGTTGAAATAAAATGATACTTTAGTTCTGCTGAAATGAAACTAATATATATATATATATATATATATATATATATATATATATAATGAAACTGAATACATCATACAAACAGAATTAATTGGATAGAATGTGGGCTGGTTTTGTCATTAAAAGAAACGGCACAATTTTGAACCATGGCCACAGTAAAATTTGCCAGCCGTTATATTGTGGACCGCGGTGCACGTACTATTTCTTTAAGTAAAGAAACGACGCATCGTTACTGTTAACAGATGGCGCATTTTTTTGTGTGTTAATTACCAACTCAAATTACAGTGTATCTAAACTGACACTACAGTGTATCTAAAGCGACACTGGCTCACATATTATTTTATTATCCAATGAAAATGCAGTTATATCAAAATGATACTGTAGTTGTGGTGAAATGAAACTGCAGTATATATAAAATGAAACTGAATAACATTTCACATATTTGAGTGTATATTATATTAACATTTCACATATTTGAGTGTATATTATGTTGTGCAATGAAGCTGTAGTTATATCGAAATGATCATGTAGTTGTGTTTTAATGAAACTATAGTTTATAAAAAATAAAATTAAATAACATTTTCACATATTTGAGTGTATAAATATTGAGTTCAACTGTAGTTATATCGAAATGAAATTGTTGTTGTGTTGAATTGAAACTGTAGTGTATACAAATTGAAACTGAATAATATAGTTATTTTTGCGAAACAACACAAAATGAGTGCCTTTCTTTGCATTAAACAAAACGACGTCGTTTTGAAACTCGGTGCATAATTGATTATGCACCGCGATTCACGATATAATTTGCCAAGATTTGCCTACATAACCAAAGGCCGTGTACGGATTCTGGATTTCTTTCATTACTCGGATTTTAAAGCCCAAGCCCGTATAGGCATTATCTTGGGTTCATATGCTAAGCCCAGTAACATTTTATGTTAATTTTAGGGTAATTTATGAAGTACTTTTTTGGACAATTAATAACGCATTAATTTATTATTTTTTTTTTTTGTTACGATTAAAATTTATCATCACTACTCCTCGAGGATGTGCACTAGGTAACTTTACTTCTGTGTAAATTGTAATAGCGTACAAACTACACATGAGAGGTAATTAAAATTCTTCTATTAGCCGGTAAAATGGGACATAAAGACTAAGTGTATGTTTGGTTCATGAGTTTACACAGCAGGAATAAGAATTAAAATCATAGTTAGTGTTTGGTTGACAACTTTTTAAAACACAACTATTAGATTTGATTACCCTTTCAATTAAAAACTTCATTTCCTGGAAGTGATATTTTTTTCTTAATGGAGAACGCTCTCGAGAAACTTACGGATCAACGCTCGTCGGAAGATCAAGATCTTCTCGAACGGAGCACAAAGAAATCTAAACGTGACGTTGGAGATCAAGCAGCCCATGCTGAGAGAACCTTAGAGGTGGTGCCGGAGACGCCGATGGATGAGACGGGCGAATGCGACGTTCCGCCGGAACGGCCAAGCCGAGATCGGCCACCTCTGTCCTTCCGTGATGCTGTTGCTGGAAATATGATGGCGAACATTGATTTGACTTTGGGAGATCTGGAGGGAGATGACTGCTACTCCGATGACGAGAACCAAGATGAGCCAGACGACCCACTCTGTCCAACCATCCGACTTACCAGAAAGGAGAAGGAGATAATCAGAGCACCTTGGAGGCAGGCGTTAATTGTCAAGGTATGGGGAAAACAGGTGGGGTATTCCTTCCTGATGCGTAAGCTCTGCGCTTTATGGAGATCGAAGGGGAGCTTTGAGATGGTGGCGATCGACAACGGCTATTTCCTCGTGAAATTTGGTTCGACGGATGATATCAACTTTGCAAAATACGAGGGGCCATGGATGATCCTAGATCACTACTTGATCGTTAAGGAGTGGGAGCCCAACTTCGATCCAATGGCGGACAAAACACAAAAAGTTTTGGTATGGGTACGATTCCCATGCCTTCCCATTGAATATTACAGCGGCGTTTTCTTCGAAAAATCGGTGACAAGATCGGACGACCGGTGCGGGTAGATCATGCAACGAGCCATGCATCCAGAGGGCGCTTCGCCCGGATTTGCGTGGAGGTGGAAATAACGAAACCTTTGCTGTCGAAGTTCACGCTGGAAGGGCGCCGCCGGTTCATCGCATATGAAGGCCTCCATCTGGTGTGTTTCCAATGCGGGATGTACGGCCATTATGCTGAGGCTTGTCCGACCATGAAGAACACTGGAGCATCCAGCGAACCTGAACAAAGTCGTGCTCTAGTGGAAAAGGCAGTGGCTACCAAGGCCGCGAAGGTTGCTGATACAGCGCTGAAACCATACGGATCATGGATAGTGGTCACGAAGCCGGAGAGGAGACGCCAACAAAAACCGGATCAAAGCAGGCAACGCAAGGATGGACCTCCGGGGAGTCACAGTCAATCTCGTTACAAACCTTTGGGGATTTTACAGGAAGATGATAGCTTGGATGGGGAGGCAGCAGAGGAATCGACGGATGCCGATGGTGGAAGGCCGACAGATAAGGCCGGAGAGCAGGATGGAGGTCGAAACACAATTGTTGCCAGAACCCAACGCAGAGCTAACATGGTGGTTAATGAGAAGCAGATAGAGAATCAGAAAGAGACCAGACAAACGAAGGAGGCCAAGGGGAAGGAAAAAGTAGCATGAACGCAAGCTGGCCAGAAGGAAAGACCTTGCCGGGCGGCGGAGGAGGACGAGCATGTCGTGGTTCGGGGTTCGCAAGGGGGCAAGCACATCCAGACGGAACGTGTGACCTTAATTCAGAGAGAAAACCCAACACCTTCGGAGGCCGTAGATGGCGATGGAGAACACCATAATGATGATCCGGACGCCATGGATGAAGATGGAGATGCAGTCATGGAGGTCGAAGGTGATCCAGGGGGAGAAACTGGAGAAGTGGACGGTGATGTATCCTTGGGTTAGCCGTTTGGTTTTCTTGTCTTTCGTTAGCTAGTTTGTTTCCCCTTTTTTGCAGGTTTTTATGATTAGTATCATCTGGAATTGTCAAGGCGCAGGAGGACGGGATTTCCACCGCGTCTTAAAGCACCTCATAAAAGTTCACAAACCGAACCTTGTCGGATTGGTAGAGCCGAAGGTGTCAGGATCACATGCGAACACCATATGTACCAAACTTGGTTTTGATGAATGGGTTCGAGTTGAAGCCGTGGGGTTTAGCGGGGGCATATGGATTCTTTGGAACAAGCCCCTAATCATTGAAGTGACTTACACTCACCCACAGTTTGTCCTTGTGCAGGTGCGGGAAGGATCCGAGGTACCTTGGCACCTCGCGATAGTCTATGGAAGCCCGGTGCATCACATAAGGAAACGCCTTTGGGAGGAGCTCCGAGCCATCAAAAGAGGGATGTCCGATGCTTGGATGGTAACGCCTTTGGGGATTTTAACGCGGTGACCTGCCAGGCGGAAACGATAAACTACACCGCATATTCGACGCAAAGAAGCACCGACTTTGTTAATTGGATTAGCAGCGAAGGCTTGATCGATTTGGGGTTTAGCGGACCTCGCCTCACTTGGTTCAGAGGAACTGAGGAGTCGTCAGCGAAAGAAGCTAGGCTCGATAGGGCGCTTTGTACTGTGGAATGGAGGCAGCGCTTTCCCGATGCCTCAGTCCAACACCTGCCGAGAATCTGCTCAGATCACGCACCTCTCTTAATCCGACTTGATACAGGGAGCAGAAGGGGATCAAGTGCACATTTTAAGCTACAGGCGGCTTGGCTCGCTGATGGTGGTTTCAGGGACGTGGTAATTCAAGCCTGGAATCCAGCTCGGAGCATGCCCGAAAGTGTAAAAGCTGTCCAAACCGAGCTTACGGCGTGGAACAAGGATGTGTTTGGTAGCATAGCCGTACGGAAGAAAATCTTGCTTGCCAGAATTGGAGGAATTCAGAGGCTCATGGCAGAGTCTATACACAGAGGCTTGTACAAGCTGGAAAAAAAGTTAAAAGCTGATCTGGAAGACGTCCTCTATCAGGAAGAGTTACTTTGGTTCCAACGATCTCGGGAGGAGTGGATTGTCTCGGGCGACCGAAACACCAAGTTCTACCATGCAGCGACGATGGTCCGGAGGGCCCGTAATTAAATAAGGGGCCTCAAAACGGGAGCTGGTGACTGGATTTTCGAAGAAGAACACCTCCAAAGGCATGTCCAGGACTTCTATACGACCCTTTTCAGAAGCAAACCAGATGCAAATCACGAGAGTGCTCCACGAGGCCTTTTTCCCACTCTCACGACGGAAACTTGGCGTCGTTTCAATAGAATGGTGACAAAGGACGAGGTCAAGGCAGCCGTCTTTGACATGAACCCCCTGAAGGCGCCAGGGCCGGATGGACTTCACGCGGCGTTCTACCAGCGGATGTGGGACACAGTGGGGGATGATGTCTTTAAAATGGTGAAAACAGCCGTGGAAATTGGCAAGCTTCCCGAAACAGTTAACGAGACCTTGATTGTGCTTATCCCAAAAGTCCAGATGCCGGAGTCTATAAAACAATTTAGGCCTATAAGCCTGTGCAACGTTTCTTATAAATTGATTACAAAGACGATTACTAATCGACTTAAATTTGTCCTTCCAGGCCTTGTGGGACCATGTCAGAGCTCGTTTGTTCCAGGCAGGCAAATCACGGACAACGTGATTGTGTACCAGGAAGTCATGCACACTATGCGGTCTAAGAAAGGAAAGCTGGGCATGATGGCTATTAAAATAGACTTGGAAAAGGCATACGATAGACTTTCTTGGAACTTTATTAGTGATACTCTTATTGATGCAGGGTTCTCTGAACAGTGGGCTCGAGTCATTATGGAATGTGTCACCACACCTACTATGTCTATTGTCTGGAATGGAACTCGCATGGAGCGCTTCAAGCCGGGAAGGGGTGTCAGACAAAGAGACGCCATGTCCCCAGCTTTGTTTGTACTCTGTCTGGAAAGGCTTTGCCAATTAATCTTGACCGAGGTTACTAATGGTTCGTGGAAAGGAGTCCGACTAACTCCGTCGGGCCCGGTGCTGTCCCACTTATGCTTTGCCGATGACATGGTCCTTTTTTCGGAAGCGACCATGGACCAAGTTGCTGTTATCAAAAGATGCCTGGAGTTTTTTTGTGGAGCCTCTGGGCAGAAAGTGAGCTTTGAAAAGTCACAAGTCTTATTTTCCAATAACACGAGTGCGGAGCTGGCCGTGCAAATATCTAATGCTCTTGGTGTCACACGAACGGAGGACCTAGGCCGGTATCTCGGGGTGCCATCGATTCATGGCCGTGTCACACACGGAACCTTCAATGACCTACTAGATAGAGTGAAGATCAAACTGGATGGTTGGAAATCAAGAACCCTTTCGCTTGCTGGAAGGGTTACGCTGACCAAAGCTGTCATCAGTGCCATGCCCACATACACCATGCAAACTATGTGGCTGCCAAAAGGCGTATGCGATGAGCTCGAAAGGATTATGCGAAGGTTTATGTGGGGCGGTGTGGATGCTAACAAGTCCGTGAGCCTCGTCAGATGGGGGCAAGTCACGCAGGGCAAGCAAGACGGGGGACTGGGGATTAGGAAAGTCCACGATGTCAACCTGGCCTTCATGGCGAAGCTTCGTTGGCGCATGCTCATGGAACCGGAAAGTGTTTGGGTCAAAGTGCTGAAGAACAAATATGAACCGAAAGAAGATGGCAGACGTGGAACAACGGGAAGGTGTGTTTCTAACGCATGGAAAGGCATTCAAAGTGCTTCCCATATCCTGGACAGTGGCATCCGGAGAGTCATACGAAATGGCCGGAGTACGAAGTTCTGGTTAGACGTTTGGGCGACAGACCAGAGGCTTTATAATTACAGATGCAAACACATTCCGTTAACAGAGCTTTATGCGTGCGTGGCGGATTATTGGGAGAAAGGAAGTGGGTGGAACTGGGAGCTACTTGATGAAGCCCTCCCAGTTGAATGGAAAGCAAGGATTAATGCCTTTGTTGTTTTAGAGGATGAAGCAGAAAAGGACACTTGGGGATAGGGGTGTTCAATCGGTTAACCGTTCAGTTAACCGAACCATTTTAACCGAACCGAATTAACCGAAGTTTTTTTTCCTTTAACCCTTAACCGAACCGAAGTTTGCTCTACTGAATTCACCGAACCGAAATTTTTTTCGGTTAATCGGTCGGTTAACCGATTAACCGAACTTTTTAAAGCTAAAATTTAAAATTCAAAAAATAACACCTAAAATAATAAATCTAATTAAAATAAAATACATATCATAATAAATTCATAACAAAATATACAAAAACATTAATTAGAAACTTCAAACATCCATAACTTCAAATTAGTATTTATATTTATATTATTATTTATATATATATTAAAAACTTCGGTTAACCGTTCGGTTAATTCGGTTAACCGACCTTTCGAACCGAATTAACCGTTAACCGAAGTTTTAAAATTCCTTTAACCATTAACCGAACCGAAAAAGTTCGGTTCGAAAACGGTTAACCGAACTTTGTCGGTTCGGTCGGTTAACCAAAAATTATCCGAAGTTTGCACACCCCTACTTGGGGACGACGCAGAGAGCTTAATGGATCCTTCTCAATTAAATCAGCCTACGACGCCATTCAGGACGAGCCGCCAGGGATGACTGATTTCGATTGGAAGAGCATATGGAGAATTAAGATCCCAAATAAAATGCTTCATTTTATGTGGCTAGTTAAACATGGCAAAGTGATGTCTAACTAGGAACGCTTTAAGAGGCACTTTACTGCTGATAAATCTTGTTCTGTTTGTGCAGGTACAACGGAGAGTTTGCTCCATATCTTTCGGGATTGCCTGCAGATGGAGGGGGTTTGGGAGTCGTTTCTCCCTGCGGCGACAGTCCTCGCACTCAAAGCCAAAAACTGGGACGACTTGCTGACTACGAACTTGAGGGCAAACTGCAAACTGGGCTTCCCGGAAGGGTGGCAGGCAACTTTCGGAATTGCCCTATGGTGGAGCTGGAGATGGCGCAACGCGAGAGTCTTCGAGGGCAAGTCGGCGAACTTGGCTTTTCGCAGGCAGTGGTTACGAGATCAACGTGTTGAGGTGAAGGCGGCCTTCAAGAATAGGTGGTCACCAGCGGCAGCTCGAGTAGGCCTGGGCGAAATAACCTCTGTGTGGAAGAAACCGCGCATGGGATGGCTTAAGCTTAACGTTGATGGGTGTTGCAAAGGCAATGTCAGGAGGGCAGGCTGTGGGGGTGTCCTCAGCGATAGCCAGGGGCTTTGGCAAAGAGGATTCTCACATAATATTGGTTTGTGCTCGGCGGAGGAAGCTGAAGCGTGGGCTGTCTTGGAGGGGCTTCGCATGGCAGCAGCGCACGGGACTCGAAGGTTGATCATTGAAAGCGACTCGATTGGGGTAATTCGAGCTCTTCAGATGGACGGCCAGGAAGTGGGGAGAGCTCATAACGTGGTGCGGGCGTGCGTGTCTGAGTGCAGCAAGTTTGAGGAGATTGAGTATAGTCATGTCGTTCGCAAACAGAACAGAGTTGCGGATTGGCTAGCTGCTTCCGCCCTTGAGTATAACTTAGGCAACCGGAGTTTAGTTTATCCTCCGAATCCCGTTCAGGCTTTGCTGTGGGAAGATAAGAATGGCGCACGCATACAGCGTGGTGCCTCTGTTTACTTTTCCACCCGGGTTTCTTACCCTCATTATATTCCAAAAAAAAAAAAAAAAAACCTCATTTCCTAATTAAAAACCAGTATCATTTCATCTTATTGGTAATTTGACTTTTAAGTTTGGATTAGTGTTTTTTAGATTTTTGTTTTTATTTTTTGTTCATATTGATGCTTTGGATATCATTATATTAAGATCAATTGCCTTGATTTTTTGTTTTGTTTTTTTGTTTTGTTTTGTTTTTGTTTTTTTTTTTTGGTTTTGTTTTGTTTTTTTTTGGTTTTGTTTTTTTTTTTTGTTTTTTTGTTTTTTTTTTGTTTTTGTATTTATAAAACCTTTATTCCCATTATAGGCTAATACATAATCAAACATCAATATTAGTAATCATTCCAATTGCGCCCTACAACCAAAGATGTAAAATACTTTTACAAAACCTCATTACCGTTACCAAGTATTTCATTCCCATATGAGGCTAATACATAATCAAACATCAATATTAGTAATCATTCCAATTGCGCCCTACAACCAAAGATGTAAAATACTTTTACAAAACCCCATTACCGTTACCAAGTATTTCATTCCCATATGCGAACCAAACACACCTTAAAAAATCAATCAAGTTAATTAAATTTCCATCTTTACACTAACTCATCATGTATAATGTTATGGGGACATTTGTTTGTTTTATTAAGGACAATCATTCTTTTGGCAAGCTTGTTGAGTCAAAGCACATTTATTCTAATCATGTATACATCACCAGTATTTTTTAGAACTGCAATTCCACTTCATGATTCTACAAAATCTACTCAGTGTTTTGATCACGATGGGACTTAAACCCACAATCTCCCGCTCCGGAGGCGAGCGCCTTATCCATTAGGCCACGTGATCTCATTATTTATTTGTTCTTACATTGAAAATTTATGTCTAAACATGCATGGCGGTGCCATTATACTGAGAGGACCCCAAGTGGTATTAATTCTATATGGAAATATGAGTTTCTAATTATTCCAACCTTCAAAAATAAGAGTACTCTTTTAACTCACAATTTAGAGAAGTTGGTAAGTGTGTTGCAAAATACAACTACAAGGTTGGATATTGACTCTTGTATATATGTCATATTAAAAATTTTTAATTAAATATTCTTCGAATAGGCAAAATCTCATATGAGATCATCTCACAGATCTTCATCGGTGAGAAGGGTCAATTTTTTCATAAGTATATATTACACTTCTCCTCATAATAAGTAATACAAAATTTCTCATAACTCTTCAACCACTAATATTACATTTTTTATTTATTTTTAATCTAGAAGGAGGGGTGAAACCCCAGAAAGACCATTACGGACGATCAACACCCCCATTATGCCCCGGGGAACTCATTTGGAGACGTTTGCCCCCAGTTTATCAAGCCGGATTGCATCTCTTAAACTCTGGGGTGTGTCAATGAGGACCCAAAGTCCAAGTTGGTGAGTGAGCGCCGCCGTTGCCAGGTTATCCGCAACCATGTTACCTTTTGGAAGAGTGCAATGAGAGTTTCGTTTAAACCTTCTGGAAGAGTGCCCGTCGCGAAAGCCTGTCTGACCATACTGTAAATGTCCTCTCGAGTTTTAACCCACATGTGTTGATAGAAACCTGCTTGGAAGCCATCTGGTCCCGGTGCCTAAAACGGTTTCATGTCCTTGAGAGCATTATGAACCTCTTCATTTGAAACCGCCATATTGAAACAAGCCCATAAGTCAAGGTTACGTAAGTGGGAAAAGTTCGCGCCTAGTTGAAAGTTCGTGTCCCCGCCGGTCCCTTCCGCAAAGAGTTGGACATAGAAATTTCGAATGTGTTCCCGAAGCTCATCCCCTTTCGAGCTAGAGCCACATTCCATTATCATCCATTAGCCGTTGGACGGAATTGTGAGACTTGCGAACTGTCGCAGCTGCATGGTAGTAAGCTGTGTTCCTATCGCTAGAGCTTATCCATTCGTCCTTGGACCTCTGGAACCAAATAAGCTCTTCCTGTCGTAGAATGTCTTCGAGATTCTCCCTGAGCTTCAGCTCAAGCTTTGCCAGGCCTCCATGGTACTTGAATGCCATGGTCTTCTGAACACCACTTAGCCGATTCATAAGGACCCTTTTGCGTTTAAAAACGTAGCCAAAAAACTCCGTATTCCAGGGGTCGCTAGCAAGATTCCGGGTATTCTCCAAAAAGCTTCAGTCTGATCTCCAAGTGCGCTCAACCACACCGTGCACATCATCAGGGGTAAGCCAAGCTGCCTGAAATATGAATAGTGTCGGCGGCCGCTTTTGCCCCTCCCCCTCTATCTGTATTAATAAAGGCGCATGGTCAGAAGCAATCTGGGCTAAATGAGTTACGCACGCACCTGGGAACCTATTGCGCCAATCGGTGTAGCACATGGCCCGGTCGAGGCGTGCTCCTTTAAAGGCGTCATTGTTACTGCCTTTCACCCAAGTAAGTTTTGGCCCCGAAAAGCCCATAACGATAAGTCCCTCTTCTTAGATCCAGTTGACAAAATCGGAGCTTCTATGCAATGAGAAGGAACTGTAGTTGCTCGTCTCATCTCTATTCAGAACTGAATTGAAATCCTCGGCCACGTGCCTGGGTCCCATGATGCCACGCTTCGAGTGGGTAATATCCTTCCACAATCACCAGCGCAAGTGGTGAGTCGGGCACCCGTAAACCGGGGCTAGATACTAGGGCGGCTGATTGTCTGTCTCCACCTGCATAAGAATGAACTAGGGATGAGTACGTTGGATCGAATTCCGCACCAGGTTCTTCCAAAAGACCCAGATGCCACCACTGAAGCCCACGACTTCCACCCGAACCCAATCCGAGAAACCAATCTTCCTGCAAATTGCGTTAGCTTGGACACCCGAGACCTTTGGTTCAAAAAGGCCCAAGATACAAGGTCTATACATCTTGAGGAGATGTTTGAGGGCGCGAAGGAACAACTTGCCACCCGCACCTTGAAAATTCCAGAAAATGCAATCCATAAACAAACAGACAGAGAGAAAAAAGGCCTGACACAACACAAAACAAAACCAAAACAAGAAAAACCAGCAAGGCAAAAATCAAAACAAGAAAAAACCACACGCGGGGGCGCTTATTGAACTCCCCCGTTACAAAAACTCATTACCGTTACCAAGTATTTGATTTCCATATACGAACCAAATACACCTTAAAAAATCAATCAAGTTAATTAAATTTCCATCTTTACACTAACTCATCATGTATAATTGAAAAGTTAATAGAAATGTTATGAGTGGTTAACTTGAGAGTTAAATGATCATGGGTCGTGTAACTTGAGGTTAGCTTACGACCACAAGTGTTTTTTTTTTTTTTTTTTTTTTTTTTTTGCAAAGAAGTGATATATATATATATATATATATATATATATATATATATATATATATATATATATATTGCAGAGAACTTAAATTTGATTCATAAATTTCGCAAGCTTGTTGTATTCTGATGATGCATGCATCATACGTATTTTTTAGAAATGCAATTCCACTCCATGATTCTACAAAATCTAAAATTATTTTGATCACAGTGGGACTTGAACCCACAATCTCTCGCTCCGGAGGCAAGCGCCTTATCCATTAAGCCACGCAACCACATTATTTGTTTTTTTTTTTTAATTTAAAAGTTATGACTAAACGTGGTGGTGCCATTATATTCAGAGGACCCCAACTGGTATTAACTCTATATGGAAATATGAGTTTCTTTTTTTTTTTTTTGAAAGCGGAAATATGAGTTTCTAATTATTCCAACCTTCAAAAATAAGAGTATCTTTTAACTCACAATTTAGAGAAGTTGGTAAGTGTGTTACAAAATACAACTGCAAGGTTGGATATTAACTCTTGTATATATGTCATATTAAATTTTTTTAGAGAAAATGGTCAAATGGACCCCTAAACATTTCGCGAAAAATCAATTTGCCCCACGAACTTTTAAAAAGGTCAATTGAACACATGAACACACTATTTTTAGTCAATTGACCCTATTAACCGGTAACTTTTCCGGTAAAAGTCGGTAATTGCCCTCATGGCGCGCCACATAAGCGTTGGAGTGGGTACTTGACTGCCACATAAGCATAAATTAAAAAAATAATAAAGAAATAAAAATTAAAATCATGATTCTTCTTCTTCTTCTTCTTCTTCTTCTTCTTCTTCTTTGTACTCCATATGGGTCATAACTCATAATAATAACCTATCCGCAGAAAGGAATTCACACACGCATATTATTCTTTGGTTTCCACTCTCCCATCAACCCTTTTAGGAACCCTAAATACTACGTAACACTCAAAAATATACAAAAACACAAACTAAAAATCAGACGCTCCCTTCTTGAAAATAGATAGGGAAATTTGATTATTTTGACATTGTTAGTTATTTTCGAAACACAACAGTACAGTAGCAGCGAGCGTAGCAGGCATACCATTGAAACCCAGAACAAGATCAGAATATATATAACGCTCATAGTTTATTAATTAAGTACATTCAAGTCAACCTTAAGTACAAGGTTTCAAGTTGCATACCATCATTAACCAAATCCAGCAACCTTAAATAGAACCAAAAAATTGTAAGAAAGTTGAAAAGGTTTCTAAAGTTGAAAAGTATTTATCTGAACATAGGTGGGATGGTGGTCTGGAATTTCAGATGATTATGATGACCCATATGGAGTACAAAGAAGAAGAAGAAGAAGAAGAAGAAGAAGAAGAAACCAGGATGAAGAAGACACAGAGGAAGAAGACGATGGGCTGAATGGTAATTTTAATTTTTATTTCTTTAATTTAATTTTTTTAATTTAGGCTTATGTGGCAGCCAAGTACCCACTCCAACGCTTATGTGGCGCGCCACGGGGGCAATTACCGGCTTTTATCAGAGAAGTTACCGGCTAATGGGGTTAATTGACTAAAAATCGTGTGTTCATGTGTTCAATTGACCTTTTAAAAGTTCGTGGGGCTAATTGACTTTTCACAAAATGTTTAGGGATCTATTTGACCCTTTTCTCAAAATTTTAATTAAATATTCTTCGAATAGGCAAAATCTCCTATGAGATCATCTCACAGATCTTCATCGGTGAGAATGGTCAATTTTTTCATAAGTATATATCACACTTCTCCTCATAATAAGTAATACAAATTTTCTCACAACTCTTCAACCACTAATATTACATTTTTCATCAAAAGTATAACATTTTTCCTTATAAGTATTACATTTTTTCACATAAGTAACAAACAATCAATTTATCCATGATCAATATTACATTTTTTTTTCTCATAAGTAAATGTTCAACCCCTAAATATTACACTTTGACTTAAAATTATTACATTTTTCTTCAAAAGGATTATACTTTCTCTTATAAGTAACAAATAATATATTCATGCATATTAGAACGTATTATATTTTCTAGCATAAGTATTATATATATTTTCGTATTGTCCCGACTTGTCTCATATATAAAGATTCATGAGAGTCTCATAGATAAAAAGACGTGAGATGGTATCACAAGAGACTCATTCCTTGGGATAAGACTATAAAAGAGTTCAATACTTAAATTGTGTAGGTATAGCCTCTATTTTAATGTTCTAAATTTGAATTATTTTTTTTTTGTCAAGTCATAAGTGTTCTGAGCAGGTCTTAATTGTAGGAGACACCTTTAAGCTCGTACCATACCAATACTAGTCTCCCTTCGCACTTGACCAACCCAATTAAGGGACAAAGTGATGGCCAAATTGATTTTTCCATACGATTGAGAAATTGAATTAATTTCATTACACACAAATGTTAGTTTACGTGGTCATGTTTCTATATGGTTTAATTTGTTTCTCCTTCACGTACGATGTCCCTCGTCATAGGCTAAGGTTTCTTCCAAGAATTCATTCCAATGTAATCCCGCGTTTGTATAAGATATTAAGATAGTGTCATTAGTGTGTGGTTGTTGCATTAATTAATGTTTTTTGAAAGAAACGTACGGAAGGCATTGAAATTAGGTTTGATTTCTTCTCTAAATTGAAAACTGAGAAATGACAAATGAAGAATTCTTCTTTCAATCATTCCGTGTAGCCGTGCATATATGCACAAGAAGAGGAAGTCTTGGTGTGCATGGAAT